AGCCACTACATCAGTTGAACGGTTCACTTAAGGCTGACTGTAGCGTACGTATAAAGTTAAGAACTTTCTGAGAGTTCCTGTTCCCCTACCCTCAGCACATGAAGTGAGTAAAGCCCAACATAACAAGCCAATGAGGTATAGGAAGGTAAAGAAATAAGGTACAACAGCTATTCTTGAATAGCCATGACTGTCTGGTGGGGCAATAGAAAGGATTTGTGTATTGCTAACCCTGCAGTGTTCCACTACGAGAGAAGCTCTGATTTGAGGTGTTAAGCTGTGATCTTCAGGAAGCAGCAACCTAGTGAGATTGAGAAAGGGCACAGAAAAGGCCAGTGCATATGCAACAGCTTAGTGATTTTGATCTTTTTCAAATAATGTGTGCAGTCTCAAAAACAAAAGGTATGACGATCTGAATGCTCCTAATGGTTTGATAAATACCTTGAAAATTATTATTTTTTAAATTCACCTGTATTGTAGTGAATTGATGTATTTGTCTAAAGACTTTCTTTCTGCTGCACTGTAACCATAGAGCAGAAAGCTGCTGCAGTGGATCTCATGTTTCCAAGTGCCCTAGTGCGTTAAAGTAGGTCAGAAATTGCATAAGATGCCATTACTGGAAACTGCTGTAGGCTGACTTGCATATAAAAACTCAGCTGTGCAACCGGCAAATGCACTCTGACAAACAGAAATGCAGTCACGACTTAAAATATAACAGGAAAGCTCTCTGAAATCTCCGTAGGACATGAATGGCTGTTGGAACTGTGAGATCTTTGCCCTTTGAGTCTATGTTCCTGCTATCTGCTGAGCTGGAGCTGCCTGCCTGGCTTGTCAGATGTCACAGTGTTGCTGTCTGCAGGGAGCTCAGACACCAAGCTCTTAACTCATTCTGGACTGCAAAAGCTGTATTCTGTACTTTCCAGTTCGCAAGCTGCTCTTGAGAAGAAACACACTGCACAGTGAAGGTCTTGCACGGTTAAGAAGCTGTAGTAACTGGTGACTGGTAGTGACTGATGGAAGCTGGTGGAGGGCTGCTTGCTTTTCTTTTTTTTTTTTGCGTCCATTTTAGGAGCTGACCACTGGTGAGAGCAGCCTCCTGTATTTTTTCTTACTGCTTCCATTCCCCTACCATAGGCTCTGTCTAATGCGACTTCAACTAGCAGTTTGAGGGTTTATAATCATAAGCAATCACAGAGAGATGTTTTGCTGTGACTGTTTTTTAGTGCACTCCATGAAGGTAGTTGTAAAGTATCTCATGTGATGAATTCTGTTTTTCCAAAGGTTTGAAATGGGTCTTCTCCTCCATCAAAGGTATCAATGAGACCTATCTCTGAGCCCGGCAAGAGCTATTTGGATTCTGCATTATTGCTAGGAAATCTTTGTGAACCAGCACTGCTTTATTTCCTTGGATTTGTGCATCCTTGGTGACGTACCCATCTGTTACCGTGCTGATCCCACGTTTCCACCATAAAACGGAGGGCTTAGCACCAGGCGTCTGAGCAACCGGTCGCAGGGCCAGGGCCTGCAGGGCCGCCAGCTGCTATGCGAGCACCCTGCCCGCTCTCTGCCCTCAGCTGCTGCTCGTTGCTGCGGCCCGCAGCCGCACGCCCTGCTGGCCCGGGCACGGCGCACCGCCATCGTATCTGTGTTAGAATCTCGCCGGATGTCGGGGAACCGCAGGTAGAAGCTCTGCTGAGCACGCGTAAGTTTGCGAGTCAGGAGTGCTTCCACCTCGGCTTTAGTCATGCTAACGAGATGATGAGGAAATGCCGAAGGTGCCAGGGCTCTGCGGCGGGAGCATCCATCATCATCCACATCCTCAGGCTGTGTTTCGCTGTGCGCAGCCCGTAGGTGCTTTAACTCACATCTCGGATCTCAGTGGCGATAGGCGCAGCGGCTCCCCGTGCAGTTGGGATAATTTACCTACGGGTACAAGCGCTTAATCGCGCTGTTAGAGCAGCGTGTGGACGTCAGGTCGCCGTTAAGGTGCCGGCGATGGGACCGAGGGCAGCGCCGGCTCTGCACGGCCGCCCGAGCGCCGTGCCCGCAGCCGTTGGCGGCCTTCTGGCTTCCGCTGGCAGCTGCTGTGGCGTCCCGGCTGCGGCAACTGCCGGCCTTCAGACCGAGCCCTCGATCGCACCGTTCCCCTCTCGACGGACGGCTCCGGCGCAGCGCACGTGAACGCGTTCTGCATTTCATTATTAGGCCGCGTTGCCGGGCGCACCTCTCGCAGCGGGAGCGGCTCCCGCGCTTCGTTCATCGTGTCCCTCTCTTCCCCTTCTGCGCGAGCTCCCAAAGCGCCCGAACGTCGGTCAGGTTTGTAAGCGTCAATTCCTCTTTTGCTCGCTCCGTCGTGCGGCGCGGGGCGGGCGAGGTGCGACTCCGTCCTAAAGAGCCCGGCCCCGAGGACGCAGGTGCTGGGCGGCCGCGGCTCAGGGAGCGGCAGCTGTGCTCTCTGCCCGTCCCGCCCTGCGCTGCACGTGCTGCGCCCTGCGCGCTTGCGCACTGTGCGGGCACGTGCCTCGGCCGTTGTTGCCTCGGCCGTTGTTGCTGCTGCCTGCGCCGGGACCGTGGGCGATGCGGCGGGATCGGAGCGCAGCGCGGACTGCTGGAACGAGCAGGTAACGGGCGGGAGGGCGGCTGCGACGCTTCGGGAGGGGCGGGGAGAGGAGAGGCGGCGGGGCGGTCGTGGGCGCGGCGACGGTGCGGGACTGCGAGCGGGGCCGGTGCGCGGGGAACGGCGGCCGCGTTCCCGGCACGCGTGGGAAAAGGGGCTGAAATGACCCGCGGCTGCTCGGGCGCGGCGTGATGCCTTTGTGCCGCGCTCCGGCAGAGCCCCAGTGGCTGCGGGGCGGCCGTGCCGCGGCGGTTGAGGCGGACGACCTGACCGCTGGGGAACGCGCGGCCCGCTGTGTGTGCTGGCACACCGCCAGGCCCGGGGCGCGCCGCGCCGCTCCGCTCCGCTCTGCTCGTGGGGTCTTTCAAGCCCAAACGCGCCGGGCGATCGCGGCGGTTTGTACCGACCGGGGGCCGGCCGCTGAACGCCGTCACTGCTTCGCCTGTGCCAGTGGTGCAGGGCGCCGTGCTTTTTTATACTGCGCAGAATAAACGGGATTTCTTGTTACGGGCTGTTTGAAGACGTGCGTTCGTCGAGTAGCTCGATCGCACGCCATGTCTGTGTGCTTTCACTGCCGCGCAGCTGCCGCTTTCGCGTACGGTGAACTTGCGCGCGGCCGGCACGGTGCGCGCCGCGTGCTGCCGACAGCGGGGCGGAGGGACAGCGCCGTGCTGTCCTCGGGCGGCGGTTCCCGCGAGGAGGCCTCTCCCCAGGGACCGCGGTGCTCTCCGCCTGCCGGTAACCTCAGCATCGAGGATGGCCCGGCGGCGGCACGCGCGGCTGGGCGCTGCTGGTGAGCGCTGCTCGCGGAAGGCACCGCGCCCTGCCTACCTTGGGGCTGAGACCGAGCGTAAGGAGTCACAGACTTACACAGAACGTGGTTGGTTGGTTTCTTGTTTTCTCTAATAAATGTTTTGAGACCTTTTCGTTTTCTAGTAGAATGTGTAATTCAGTAAAATGCAGTTTTACAGACTGCTTTTTTGTAACCGCAGAAACTTCTTGTCTCGATCTTTGTTGTTAAGGCCATTCCAGAGAACAGCAGTGCTGCAGTAGCTACCATTGGTTGCTAAGTTCTCATAAAACCTGCGGATTTCGGTGAAGAAAAACGTAAACCAGCTCAGCAGTTACCGTGTTCTTAGTGGGCTGTCAGAGAGATTGTAACCAAAAGTATCTGTGATTTCAGAGGGGGCTCTTTAATGCCCTTCTTTCTTCTTAGAGAACCACACCAAGTGGCTCTTAGAAGAAAAAAAAGTTTTGTGCTTTAACGCCCCTGTGTTTGGGCTCCTGGGGGTTATCCCAATGTGAAGAAACATCACCGAGTAATGAAGCAGCTTGCAGCAAACCTCGCCCTTCCAGGTTCTTTAGAGGGCAGTGTTTATCTCAGCAAGTTGCACCATTAGTGCAAAGATTCAGAATCCTGGTGGCAGTTCTTGTAGCGCTGACACAGACGAGCATACAGATCACCAGGCAGTGTCTTTATTGCTGAGATAAGGACTGTGTTCCCACATTTCTCCAGCGTTTCAGGCCTACAGAAAGCATGTGATAAGCATGCAGCTAACCAGCTGGGCCTGGGGCTGTCTGTAGTCAGCTAAATCTGTTCTGAAAGCGCCTCCCCAAATTTGACGGTGCAATTAAACGAAGGGGGGCTGTGTGAGAAGGTAGCTATTTTTATGGTCTTTTCCTATTGTCTTTTAGCCTTTATGCTGATTTGAGATTAAAACTGATGGATCACTTATGCACGAGGGAAAACAAGCACTGTGAAATTGCTTTGGAATTTCTGAATTTGATGGAGTTGGAAAACCAGCACGTGTGGTGAGGAGACACAGGGAACTCACACCACCATTTGGGTCCTTGCTGGCAGAATCCAGGTGGGAGGCAGGAAGGGTAGAGAGTGTGTTCTGTGCCTGCAGGTGTGTGAAAGGGGCCTGCAGATGAAAGATGACGTAGGGTGAGATGGAAGGAGAGCATGCAGGGTGCTGAAATATCGCATGCTGGGATGAACCTGACGTAGAAATCAAGTAGATGTTTCTGCGGCCTTCAGTCGGTAAGTTGGGTGCATTTCCTGGTGAGATAGGAGCAGTAATATTTCTAGATATTTTTCCAGTTGTTCTGTCAAAATGTGACAACTTCAGAAGTCTCCATCTGGAACAACATGGGAAGTGTCTTGGAATGGTGAACTAACCAACAAGTGCGCACTTGATAGGTTTCCCTCCTTTATTTTCAAAATGTCAAGCACTGCAGTATTGCCTTGAGATTAAACTAATGAAGAGTTTTTTATTTTTTTTAATGTTTGAGGAACAATTACTGTCAACTTCAATTTTCACTGACTTTTCTCCACATTTTTCTTAAAAGCAAACAAACAAAACCACCACCACACCAGCCCTGCTCTGGTTGCCTTGAAATGCCTTTATTTAGCTCCCGTACAGTCAGGCTGCACTTCCTGCTGCTGTTTCTCTCCAGCATAGAGATGCTGCTGCTGCAGTCAGCCATCGCTCCCACCACCATTTTCAGTGTACAATTCCCACTTGCAGCATTTTCAGTAAACATGGAATCAACTGAGTATACAGAAATAGCTTCTATAAAATTTCCATTAAAAAAATAACAAGTTTTTATTTACAAAGTGTTTGCTACTACAAAGTAATATTTCCTATAGGTTCAAATATACTATTTGCTAATGCCAGTGTTCCTATTAGGAAAGTAAAACTTTGTATATGCGTTTTTCTTTATATCTTTCTCAGTGTTTAAAGCACACATAATGCTACCGCACTCCTTTTACACTATTCCTAGCCACGAACAATGTGGTTGTAGAAAGTAACACTGTTTGATCAGGGAAAAAAAAATCAGGATCGCTGCATAGCAGTCCTGCAAAAATAAAACTTCACCGTGTGACTTAAAGGTGTTTGGAGAATTCAGAAATCCACAGAAAATTATTTTAAAAACTAAGCAACAATTTGGGCTTTCCCAAAGACACAGGAATTGAGCACAAGAAGAGGGAGGAATGTTTCTGCTGATGTTTGTGCCCGTGGTTGGGAGGAGGGAGCTGATAAGAGTACCAGGATAAGGAACATCTGACTGAAACTGAGAATTTGCCACAGCTTCCATCATGGTGAACTGTATGTCTGTGCTTCTCCCCCTGCCCCTGGCAGGTTTACAGACTTCAAGCACAGCGTTAAGACTGTGGACAGTCTTTGTCTACAACAAACTTCCTTCTTAAAAGTCTTCCTGAAATTCACTTAAAGTGGTTTCTGTGTTCTCAGTGGAAAAAGGAAGTGTTGGTACAAGGCACTTCCATGCAGAATGTAACAGGTGTCAGCAAGTGCAATTCCAGCAGCACAGCGATGGGGAGCTGCTGGGGAGGGAGCTTCCTTGCCAGCTGTGCAGGGCAGTGCCAGCAGCGGTGTGCTGGGCTTGATTCTCAGTAGCATTTCTGGCTTCATTCACCACAGGTCTGGTGAGGTACAGGGTCGTCGTTTTTGCATTTTTGCATGTTTTTATCAAAACCTCTCTAATCTGAAGTGTTTTTTATATATACAACCTGGCTTTAGAGAGAAGGGGGAGTATCTATAGCTTGTGCAATGGACTTTTTTGGTTCAGCTGGTATTTTACCAGGGAGGTTCTGGGAGATCCAATTAATCTTTGCAATGCTTGCAACCAAGTTATTAATTGTTAAAGTTACCATACAGTGTTAACAAATCCACTAAAAAAATGGAGACTGATTTTGTGGACTTTCTTTTCTGGTAGCCATTTTTATTTTCTGGCCGTTCAGGATAACTGCATGTGATCTGTAAAGCATCTTCATCCAGACATTGCTATGGAATGAGTGTGTTTCACTCAGCCTGGGTAACAGTGTGGGTTGTTACCAAAACAGGTTGCAGGGAAAGGCTCATTTTGTCTTGGAAAAGTTCCCTGAATACTGCATAGATGAGTTTAATTTAAATCTACAGCTGGGTTTAAATTGTATGCAGCTGCTTCTTGTTAGCCTGGGGTCTCATGTCTGAAGCGCTTTAAGCCTGGAAGGGGTTAAGCATTTAAAACTGGCGTTTATGAAGTCTGACCATGAAGTGGGGTACCACATTCTAGCAAAGATGCTTTTTCTGCTCAAATCCAAACAGGGATTTTTGGTTTGTGACTTTGGTAGATATCCTGAATTATTGGATACTGTCAAAGAGATCTAAGTGGGAAAAACCCATTTGTTCTGGCTGGGTCCCCATGGAGCAGGATGGACCAGGGGGTAACAGTCAGTGCTGCCCTGATAGGGACCTGTGGAGGGTGCAGCGTCTGTGTGAGCAGCTCCGCAGAGCTGGGAGGATGGTAGGGAACCTCTGGGAGTGAGGTTGGTTGTGGCAGTGTGCCGGGTCCAGGCAGCAGCCCGTGTGGTCTCTTAAAAACACTCGCTGAAGTAAATTGACAGATAAGCAGGAGGGAATCTATGAACTCTGTTCAAGAAGTTGCAGGGTACTGGGATTGATGTGAAGAGCAGAAAAGTTTCCCCTTTAAGATGAAGGAAGTGTGTAGGAAGCAGAAAGATGTTGCCCTGAAGAATGGCTGTGATGAGAATTCTTAAAATGTAAAAAATTTCATCGTCTCTTCCCAGTTTCACTGTATTTGGTTACTTAAGATATGCTCCTGAAACGGAGGTATTCTTGCAGTGAAAATTAGGTTAATGAAAATGCAAATTAGGTGGGTCAGTCAGAAGAGAACTGATTTGTTTACTAAATACTCAACCTTTGTTTTTAAATGAATTCCAAGCCTGTGTGTCTTTAACTCATTAGAAGTAAAGTCTTCTCTATAAAGTGCCTGGAAAACTTACAGCTGAAAGGAGGCAGCTAATTAGAAAAATGAGTCCTGCCTGGTGCTTAATTGCAGATGTGATTAGCTTTCAGCCATGCTCTTCATTTAAAGTCCTGGGTGTGGTCAGTAAAAGAGCACTGGGCATTTTTAACCTTAACGGTCGAGTTCTGAATTCACTCATCATTTATGTACCAACTATTTGTTTTTAAATACGCTGGGTTGGTAGGCCCACGTACATCATGCTGTCAGGCTGACTTGGTGTTCAGCATGAGTCCTTCTGTTGGTATTTTGTATACTCAGCAACTTCCAGCTGGGAACGGGGCTACAGCCAGAATGGAAATATCTGAGCTGTGGTGCGTGGCAGTTTAAATTAGATAAGAGTTACTGCAGCTAAATGGGTATTGTTTGCTTTAACCTTCACTCAAATACATGTGCTGTCTTGAATTGGGTGCCATCAAATTAAGAACATTCACATGTAGCAATATAAATTTTAAAACTAAAATCCACAGATGTTTTATCAGTTTCAAATGCTGAAATTATGCTGTCTCCTGCTCATGATATTTTCATCTGGTTTGTGATGCTGCTGTGTTTTCCTTAAGTCAAATCTAGATATTTTTTTTTACTGCAATATGTAAAATAGCATTTATACACAGCATTACATTGCTGAATGGATAAGCATTCAGAAATAACATAACAAAGGGCAGAAAAATGTCAAATGGAACTTGTATGAAAATTCAGTGCTAACTCTGCCTTGTCTGAGTCACCTTCTGGTGCCAGCTGCACCGTTTCGTATCTGTGAATACTCAGCACAAACAAGCAAAAACTGTGGTACTTGACTAGAAGATGAGAGAGCCTGTCTTGCTACTGACTTTGACTGTCAAAAATCCCAGCTGCTGTGTTGAAGCAGCAGAGCACTATGGCCGCTAGTTTAGTGGGAGCAGAGGGGTCGGTTAATATTCTTAATCCCTTTGTTGTTCATTAATTACTTAGAGCTTAAGGCAGATGCAACATCATCTGTATTTAGTGAGGTCCTGTCCTGCCTTTACCTACTTTATTGTATTTATTAATGTCAATTAAGCTCAACAAGAAAGACTGAAAGGCATGCCTCAGATTGTACATGAGTGACTTTGGTTGGATAAGGCCCAGAGCTCTCCTAGTTCCCAGACTCTGGTGTAACCACAGGAACACAGTGCTGCAGTTGAATTCCATCCACAGCTGTAACTTGGCACAAAGAATCCTAAGGAAAGAATTTCCTTTTGAAGTTTCTAAGTGTTCAAACTTGTTTTGTCCTTTGTATTCTGCTAGTTCAGAAAAATAACTTATAAAGTCTCTGTTCAACTGCCTAAATATTACATGCTCCTAAACTGAAAATTGGGGGGGGGGGGGGATTTGTTAGCTTTGAGTTAGCTAGAGAGCAAGAAGCTGTGCAGGCTGCTGTGCTGATGGAAGCAGACATCAATGGCAGCAAGGCATCACTGAAGATCTTCCTCCCGCAAAGCACTCTGACTGCTCATCAAATACATAATAAAATACATTCCATTTCTCGGCAAGAAACTTTTGTTTTTTGGCCAGCATCTTACAGTTCAAAGGGCCTCAAGCCCCGAAGTTGTTGAATGTTTTGCTGTTTTTACATTCTATGAGATTTTGAGTGGGAAACGTGAAGAAAGCATACAGGTAGATTTGCCCATAAGGTATTGAGGTGTGAGGTGTAATTACTTGAGAAAACGCTCCCCCCTCTTAAAGTGCCTCAGGATGTCCTGTGTACATCAGGTATCTTCCATCCGCTCTGTCCAATGAAAGCTGACAGGACAATGTATTTCTAAGAATAAAGGCAATTGCCTGTTTAAATGAAGTGTCATTCATGCAGCCAATGGAATGCCCAGAGCACCCGGCCGTCTTATCTCACGTTTCAGACGAGTACGTTGACTCTCTGTGAGAACATGGTTTTCTCTTGGTAAAGCTTTTCTCCGCATAGAGGTAGCGTTACGGATTTGGTTGCAGTGAGGTGGTGTAAACCTCAGCCTGCTGTTGCCTGCGAGCCATGTGCATAGGGCAGTCTAACAGTCGTGCCTGGAGGGTGAATAGCAGGGTAGGCATATGGGTTTTTCTTTTTCATTTCTGCATTTGCATTTCATTTGTGGAAGGCAGAGCAATCTAGCTTACCAAAGAAGAGCTGTATGTCTTAAAAATGCTGCTGTCCTAATGTTAAATGCAGGAGTTCAAGCTAACTGCAAAAGTTTTGATGTGCATGACCTTTTAATGTGAATATGCCGATGTATTTGTGCGCTTCTTGCGGTTTCACCTGTCCTGTATGTGGCTGGTCATGTGCTAACAGCTGTCCAACAGCCATCTTCTTAGCTCAAGTGCTGGTTCACCTTCCTATCTCGGGCTGAGTGCTCTGGGACACGCTGGCTTGTGTGTGGCTTTGTGAAAGCTGAGGTGGGCGCAGCCCATGCTGTGCCTGAGTAACGGCTGCAGCTGTCAGTGGCTGCAACGTGCTGCCACTGCTCAAGCAAATCCTAAGCTGCCTAATCCTTAAATGACAGAGGCAGTGCCACTGAGATCTGACAGGTACTACACTGGTACTTAGAAAAAGGTCAACTACTGACATACAGGATGAAACTAAGAAGAAATACTTTTCATTTACCTAACTGAAAATAGTAACCTTGGGGCTAGTTAAAATATTGGATGCTGGAACACCACAAGAACTGTACATCTACAGTGTTTTGCTATTATGCAAGGATTTGTAAAAAGGTCTTTGTGAGATGTGTTGTTAAACACAGAATATGGAGCCTACTGTTTTAAGTATAATTTAACAGTTCAAAGGGAATTCATGTTGTGCAACTTTAGTGAAATTATTTTAACCTGTTCAATACTAATGTTTTTCAAAGGTGCATTGAGGTGTGTGCAGCAGAAGTTAACAAAAAGCAAATTACCTATCATAATCCATGACGACTAGAATGCAAGACATGAAATTGCATATTGTCAAAATTTATTTTTTCCTAGAAATCTGAACCTTCCATTACCTCACTTGGAAACGTACTGCCTGAGATCCTTAATACGTAGAGGCCTCTTTGTTTTTGTGTTGTTTTTGTTTCGCTTTTTTGCTATACCTGCTATGAAGTCAAAGGGATTATAATGTTCAAACAGTGAAAGAGAAGTTACATGGGATATGCTGTCATCCATAAATCACTGTTTCCACTTTTGTTTCCTTGAAAAAAGCTGGTGCAGAGAACACTGTTTCTATGCTGACTGCTTAATAATGGCTAATAATCATTTGTAATAAGTTAGGTTTGCAGTAAAAATGAACATAGGAACCTTTCAAAAGAGACAAGCTACTTTTAGAGTATCTAAAATGGGTTTAAGCTAATCCAAGATTGATTTAATAACCTGTAATTTATATTACTTCAAGAATCTTCAATACAGCAAGTTGAACAGAAAAAAAAGCAAATACTGTAACAGTTCCTTTTCCCTACAACAGTTTTCATACAAGATAGTTTTAAATAGCTTTTTTAGCACATCCATGTGCTCCCCCTTCCCCCCCTTCCCCCCCTCCCCCTTTTTTTTATTTTTTAAAGGTAGAACATCCAAAAGACAACACAAGAATTGGCTTTTTCTTCCCCATCTGGTAAAGATATGATGAAGACAGAGACTTGAGACAGAATATCCCAAAATGGAAAATACAAACTTGATGTTTACTTTTCCAAATCTCCAGGGACTTTGTTCTTTTCCTTGGTTGTAGTTGATAAAAAATAGCACTTTGTTCTGTGTCTGCATGTCACTCTGTTCAGTTATAAAAAGTTTCCAATTTCAGCTTTGGATTAATTTATTTTGGAGCTTCCATTCTGCTTCACTGAACACAGTGCAAACCAAGGCAAGAAACCTAAGTAAAATCCAAATGTGAGCTCCCATTAAGAATATATATGAGCAGCATTTTGAATATCCATTTTTACTGTCTTTACTCTGGGGACGAAGGATCATCTTCATCTTCATCCTCTTCTTCTTCATCATTGAATGAGCATGGAGTTTCTCCCCGTGATTCAGAGTAGCGTGATGTTGCACTACTGGACTGCTGACTGCTAGGGGCAAGAAACTGCCCAGTTGCTAAAGCCACTTCAGTATCCAAACACAACCCTGGATTCTCACTATTAAAACAACAGAAACGTTAAAAGTTTAGAAGATTTCTCATAAAGCATTAAGCTTTCTTTTTTGCCTCTTCTTCCTTTAGGGCAAGAAATGATGTCCAAAAAGAAACATCCTAAAGCTTTACATTAAACAAAGCTAATAGTTGTGAAAATTGCTGAAATATTGGAAAATAGCCTAAGAAAGATTGGCTTTCTTCCCCCCTCTTGCCTTAATTGCCTACTAGAATTGTTCAAGCTGAAAAAAGGACTTGGGGGTGTTGGTTGATGCTTGGCTGAATGTGAGCCAGCAGCGTGCCCAGGTGGCCAAGGCCAATGGTGTGCTGCCTTGTATCAGGAATAGCACAGCCTACAGGAGCAGGGAGGCGATTGTCACCCTGCGCTCAGCTCTGCTGAGGCTGCACTTCGAGTGCTGCGTTCAGTTTTGGGCCCCTCAAAACAGGAAAGACATTGAGGCCCCAGAATGTTCGGAGAAGGGCGTGAAGATGCAAAGGGTGCTGGAGCACAAGTCTGGTGAGGAGCAGCTGAAGGAGCTGGGATTGTTCAGTCTGGAGAAGAGAAGGCTCAGGGGAGACCTCACTGCAGTCTACAACTGCCTGAAAAAAGGCTGTGACGTGGTGGGGTTGGCCTCTTCTGTGTAAGTAGTGACCAGAGGAGATGGCCTAAGTTGCACCAAGAGAGGTTCAGGTTGGAGAGCTGGAGCGGGCAGTGGTTGAGTCACTGTTCCTAGAGATGCTCGAGAAATGTTTAGATGTTGTACTAAGGGACATGGGTATAGTGGGGAAAATACTGGTGGACTAGATGAACTTGGAGGTCTTTTCCAACATTGTAAAAACACAAGGGCTTGGAAGTGATTCTATTCTTCTGAAACAATAGACATACAACAACCAGCATGTTTAAAATGTAGATTAAGCTTTCAAATACAATTAGTGAAGAGGACTTCCACAACTGAAAATCAAGCTTAGGACGATGTCCTATGACCTGCATGTAAATGGTATGAACTACTGAGGTCACTGAAAGTATACAAGAATCTATTAATAGCCTTGAATGAGAGATGACTTTATTTACCTTGATTTTGAATCAGATGTGCCTCCTGCTATCTCTGAATGTGAAACTGCTTGTGCTGAATTTGAAAGTAATCCTCGGTTCATCCATGACAATCCTGTAGACATATCTGGAAGAAAGTACAGCTGCACTCATTATGGCTACTTAGATTTTTTTTTTTTTCTTTTTACAGTGCTTACTTTGAGTTCTGTTTGCGGTTAGGATTCTGCGTTTATTTTACATGAGAAGCTTACATTGATTTCTATACTGTAGGTGTGTTCTTGCTTAATCAAAACAAAAAATATATTCTCCAGTGTTTGTAGGTACTCTCAGGCCTCGCTAAGCCCTCAGATGCAGAATTGAGGTTATTTGTATGAAATTTTTCCTTCTGAAGAGAATATGCACTGCAGATGACTTCAGCTAGCAGCTGTACGCAGCAGTAGGACAGCTATTCAGTTTTGAAGCCCTTTTTGGAACTACAGATGCAGATTTTTATTTTTTTATTTTGCTATGAAGTTTGGTGAAGGTATGAAGGGAACTGTAGTCATTAGGACTGCAGGCCACCAGGACACTTTGTTGTTACCTGGAATTGTTTTATTACAGTTAAGAGGAATAACAGTATGTAATGTGTGCTTTCTCATCTGTATTACTGTATTCATGTTAAGCTTTGGTCTTGAGATTTGATAGTGCCCTGTTTAGCAGAGCTATGTTTTAACCAGGCAGTCTGTTCCCCTGCAGCCACATAAACTGGCTCACCATCCATTGGGATCTACTGACTCCCTGCTGTGTAGACCTGTAGCAGTGAGGTTAAATGGCACTACAGAGCAAAGGAGAGCAAGGCTGACATTCCTTCAGAGAGGGTCTTTGACTACTAAGTGGCAGTGCTAGAGGGATCTATGAGAATGCTTGATTATGGACACAGCTGGATGATTTTCATTAAGGGTGCCCTAAATGCAAGCTTAGAGTTACAAAGAACATGTTCTGACACTTTCTTCCTGTGTTTGCAGGGGGTGGCCAAACCATTTGGTATGACAGCACTGTATTTAGATTAATAAAGTGGGTTAGAAATGTATCACAGAGTTTTTTTCCTGGTCTTTTGAAAGGGCGTACCTGTACCTACACGCTTAATGTTCCAGAAGAGTAGCAAGTCACTGCTAGTTATTTTGAATTTAATTAGCATTTTGGCATAATTGCTACCTTCTTTTTGAAGAGCAGGATGGAGGAAGGCATGGATGTAATGCATATGACAGAAAGTAGCTTCAAGGATACATGTCCTTGCCCTGTGCTTCCATTGCCTAGTGTTCCTAAATGCTGATTTCCAGTTGGGCTCAGAGGAGACAGGGAAAATAAAAAGTCTGTGCAAGATGGAGAGTGCGAGAAGCCACTCCCTGCCTGGAAGGGACTGCCAAAATAGAAGCCTGCCTGTGACTGCAAGTCTTACTACATGTGGTAGAGTAGCTGCACGTATGAACCAGAGAAGTCAGTTTGAAAAACCTTTCCAAGGTGATGCAGTTTCATCTAAGAGTGGCATCCTTATTATGAACAAGGCATGTACTTGCAGCAGATGGATTTGGTAGAAACTTCTGTTTGACATGAGAAGGCTCTAAGGGAGTACCTTCACTACCCTTTAGTAGTTAATGCAAAAGTAGAGTGTTGCAGAAGATTATTGCTGGTAGCCGAACAAGCTTTTTCATTTGTCAGTATTCTTATCTTTCATTCACCTCCAGCTTGTTCTCTGGTCCAGGCTTGTTATGTATGCAGACTGCAAAGCACTTCATGCAGAGGAGAACAAAGATGTGTCTTAATACAGAGAACCTAAATCACACCACTTTGTCTGCTGCTTTAGTGGCAGTACACTAGTGGGATGCTGTTACAACAGCTATCAACGCCTTACAATTTTTATTTCCTTTTTTCTTCTCATCTGTATCTCATTTCTAGAAGTGAGGACTCAACTGACAAAGGCAGGCCTTTGGTTTTGCGTTAACAGCCTGTAGAGTCTGTAGAGCCTAAAATGCACAGGATTTGGATAGTTACACAAGAGTTTATGCTCACCTCAGTCCATGACATATTTCTGTCCTTCCAGTGGTTTCTCACTCCCTCCTTTACCCTCCGATTGTTCTGGTCTAAGCCCTTGGACAGCTAGCTCTATGTGCTGAATAGCCAGAAATTCCTCTGCCAAATAAGAACCTTTCAGGCGTGAGGCCCTGGGATGCTATCTTAAAGCTGGTGAAAGGGTAGTATTAAAGAAAACGTTTCTGTAATAAGAAGCTGGCAAGTGGTTGTAGTGCATTCTGTTATCTGTCCATCACTTTCCCTGGATTACATGCTTAGCTAAAGCAGCACTTCCACGTTAACTTTTACTGTTGTTCCCTTTTGGGAAAAAAAAAACACGTTAAGGTGGTCAGTATGTATTGTTAGCAAAGAATAGAGCTATAGAAAAATGTGTTAAAAACACAGCTTAGGATATATGGATGATTCTCTTTCTTTATGGGGTTAATATGCCTCAGCTTCTGTTTATTTTAATGGCAGTCAAGACACTTGAGGATCACACTGCTGTAGTTCTTAAAAAAAAAAAAAAGTGTGTATGTATGTGTATATGTATACAAATATCTCGTTTTTGGTGAAACATCACGAAACCAGTGGAAAAAGACAATATTACTTTTTGTCAAGTTAAGCCACTTACAGAATGGCTAAAATATATAATCCTTCTGAAAAGGACATACACCAAGGTTTTGGTGGATATGGTAACTGTTCAGCAGTTCCATGCAAATTATATGGATGTTGAGTGCAAGTAGAAAGCAAGAAGCTGCTACATTTAGACAAAGTAGAACAGGACTGCTTTCATGAAGGCAGCTACTCTAGGAAAACTTGAATCTCGACTGTGATAAATTTACTCAGTGAATAAATAAGAGACATGCTTTTGATTTGCTTTTCTTGTATAGTTGTATTTGTAGCCCCTGTACTTAATGGGCCATCCTGAGAGTGTGGAGTGTAAACCATGAATTCTAGAGAACAGTAATTACCCTCACATTCACTGCTCCTATAGTGGAAGAAACAATGCCTGAAAACTGCCCACGTTAAAATGGGAGGTTATACTGAACTGAGATGTGTAATCAGGCAAATGTTGGATTTTCAAGTGTTGTGCAAAACTTTTACATCTTTTCCTTATGTACCATTAACTCTAGATTTGCTTTGTGTAATTAAGTTGCAAACAACAGCTAGAATACATCTGTGAATGTACTCATTCTAACAACACGTCATTTCAGAGGCTGAAGCAGCTGCATTTAACCCATGTCTAAAGAATACAGTATCTCCCTCAATGCTTTTCAAGTAAAAGCACAGATCAATACCTTTCCTATTAAAATTCAAGACAGGTTTCTGGCTGCTGCTCTGCTACTGGTGAAACAGCCCTCATCACAGCATTCTTGCAATCTGCAATCTTATAATCTGTTGTAGCTGTTAGTAGTTGTGTTTTTTTTTTTTTTTTCTTGGAACAGAGTATGTCTTGTTTCTTCCTTGTATGGGAGTGCTGTGGTTGTCTGCCTGTAATGTTCTCAATAACAAAGTCACACTAGCAATACATTGGTGTGGCTGATGTTTCTTCAAAACAAGTCAATATGGCTTATTAATCACTGATTTAGCTATGCAGTTTTTTTTTTTTTAATTTTTAAAAAGCTGGTTTTACACTGAAAAGAGAGTAACAAACAACTCTTTGAAACTTGAAGAAATCCTATTCTCTGAATATGCATGAATGCAGGATTAAAATTAATAGAAATTTTGCTCTTCAGTACGTGGGGTCCATTAAGAAACTCAAGACTTTAGCAATATTAGAAGATGTGGTTCTACCCCTGCCCTTTGTTTTGACACTGGTAATTTGTGATAAATAACACTTACTGAATCAAGCTGAAAGAATTCTTACTTTGTTCCTTGTGAATTTTTTTTTTTGTTGGCACTGGTGCAGCATCAGACAGATGTGTAATTTCAAGAGTGAGTGAAATTAAAAGATGTATTCTGAATTTTAAAATCTACAGAACAAGTGGACTAGGAAAAACAAGTATGTTTTGATTTAATATAAACACACTTGTGGTAGTTTGAAATGCAATACATAGAAAGTATTGCTTTTAGTGAATACAACTGAATTCTGATTTATTTTCAGCAGTTTCTTGACATCATGTATTTTAAGGACCTAATGTGGATTCCTCTCTGGAATCTCTTGCCTTACTCGCAGATGCTCAGTTCTTAGATGGCTTGTGCTGGCCACCTTTTATCTAATTATCACAAGCTTTACATAGCAAATGGGAGTGTAAAAATGACTGGCCAAGATAATAAAGAGAGCAGGAGAACCCACAGTCCATGTGCCTAAGAGCATGCGCACAACACTGAGCACATCCTACATGGACAGAGATGCAGGTAAGTCTTAGCAGAGCTCACCCACCTCCAAGTGTGAACGCAGCTGGATCACATACAGGGTTAAACTCAACCAATTCAAGATGCTCCTTTCCTCTCTTTCCTTCCTCGCTTGGGAAGAGCTCTCTTCTTCCAGTTTGCTCTTCCACACATACACAGTTATTCAAAATGAATAAAAAACTGTTCTTAGTGTCACTTTAGTTACTTAAGAAATAATTCCTTCATATGGCAGATCCCTGGAAAGTTTATTGTCACCAGCCCCACTGGTTTTCACTTCAAACATAACAGACCCATGTAGGTTAACATCTCTAAATTTGCTTTGGTTAGCTAATGTTATGATTTTGATAAGGAACAGTATTTAAAAGGGACAGTTAACTTACCTGTGATGTAGCCTTCTAAAGCTTTTGGCACCAGAGATTTTGCAGTTCTTAGGTCTTCAGCTGAGCATTTGCCTTCCTCCAGCCCAAAGGACATTCCCATTCTCTTCAACACTTCACTGTCATCATGAATCTCAAAAGTGTTATCGAAATTGAAGAGGTATTCAAATCTGAGTTTAAGAAATTGAAGTGACATGATTTAGAAAAGAATGGCTTTGCTTTTTTTTTTTCCTCCCTTTTTTTCTCTCTGCGTGTGTGTGTGTGTGTGTGTGTGTGTGTGTGTGTGTGTGTTCATTACCTGTAAAGGGTCTTTAAGAAAAAATAATTTCTTTCCTGCTTCTATGACAAGAACGCCTATGAAGTTTAAAATGGTACTCTGTCAATTAAAATGACTACCATTACAGGAAGAAAGGCTAACATTTTCTACCTCATTAAACAAATTCAAAGGAGAGTAAGGAGGTCTTAATAGACACAAACATTCACTTGTACTAAATCCAATTCTTTTAAAGGTCATCTGCAGCTCTGTCACTATAGTAAGTATTTTGTTTTCACTTCTTTTATTTTTAACTTTCTGTTCTAATCTGCAACACTCCTCCTGTGAACTGACCTATTTACTTTGCTACAGTTTTGCTTTTTGGATGCATTTAGATGCAGCCAGCAGAGCACTCTGGTCAGACTTCTGTGCTCAAATCCTAACATTTCTGCTACAGTATTCTCAAAATGTTTTTTATTGCGTGTACAAGTGCAGATAACACTATAAACTCAAGTGAGCTTTAATGATGGCAGGAGTATTTACACTAGCCTTACACTATCATCACAAGCTATTAAAGGCACAGACAGTGCTGGCTGCTCCAATGATTACAATAAATGGCTGGTTCAAAGGAACTCGTTTTCTGCTGACAGAAGCTCCATCCCCAGAAAAACAATCCGTGATAGAATCTTTAAAAGGTAATTCTGATTGATCTGAACTCTTATGTCATCTGTGGATTTTCTTTATTCTATGTTTTGTCTTTTTTTAAAAATACGTTTGAGTAAGTTTGGAAAAGTTGTCCCTCATGTGTACGTACAAAAGTTGTGTGTAGAAATGTGCTTTGGACTACATGCAGCTGTTTTCATTACAGGCATCGCTGCTTTTGTGATTCTGTGGTACTGCCTGTAGAATCTATACTGTTTATGCAGCTGTAGTTATGTAGGCATAACTGCACCAAAAGGAAAAATCCAGTGTGTGGCTGTACCTTTAATTGGTATGGTTACTTTCCTGCTGTCAGGACTGGTGTGGCTGAAGTCATGCAACTATGTTTAAACAAAGGGGATGGGAGACCAGTGTCATGCTGAACTGGCAAGCTGTGTGGTAATAACTGATTTCAGCTTTTATGGTCCAGTACTAAAGGTTGTATTTATTAATAGCTCCACGTTTTTCCTCCCACATGTTGTGGCCAAATACTGGATATTAGCAAGAAGTGGAACACGCTAAACTAACAAACAGTATTACTTCCCCTCCAGTGTTTCTAGCAACCTCTGTAAGAAATCTCTATGCTCCTCCTACTTTTGCCATTAACAGCAATTGGATGGTTTTCTTTCAGAAACTTAACGTGGCCCCGTTTTGAACTTACATAAACTTCTGGCATGCACATTTTTAAGTGCTATGATTTGCAGAAAAAAATGGTAATAAAACCACTTATGTTCTTTTCACTTAACCTTGGTAACTTATCTTAATTTTCTCTAATTTTAAATTTTAATAGGCAACTGGGAACAGCTGCATTCTGGGCACATTCCCTCTGTCAACCATGATTGTACAGACATCCGTGTATCTACTGCCCTCTCTTTTCTAGGCCAAACAGTCCAACTGTGCCTGATATGAAAGACCTTTCATTGCTGCAGTCACTCCTGCTGCCCTCCCATTTCTCCTGGTTCTGCTGTACTTGCAAGGGCCGGCCAGGTAGAGAAAATACTGTCTGCCTCAAGTTTTATGTGGTATTTCTTGCTCTTTTTCCTAATAATTACCAACAGTGTTTTGGCCATTACTGAGAAATCAACTTCTGTTCTTATAAAATGATCTACTGGGCAGCTATCTTATTATTCAGTGTTAAACCCGGGTTCAGAGGTCAATACTGTAATGTTTCCAAACTTTACCTCTCCCATGAAAGTGTGAATTTGATCAACAATAATTTCACCTGCCACTGTGTTATCTACATGCATGTCATTCTTATGTTATCATCTACTAATTAAAAACCAACACTGATCAAACTGCTCATTTCCTTGAATAACTTGTCTTATTTTACCAGTGGTATACATCTATTGTTTCCTTTCATTAGAATTAACAATAATTTGGTTTGCTTTTTTTTTCCCCCCTTAGCATTCAGCCTGTTATTAAATTAACAAATGACTTTTGTCTTCAGTCATTTATTTTAGGGTCTACTGTGGAGTGGCCCAGTGATGTTAACCAGATTTCCACGTTTCGTGTTGAGTGAGACAGGAAAACTACTGTGCACCAGGTGACATCATACTACCCAGTCTATGTACAGGACATCTAAATCTTAGTAATGTCTACCTATTACTTGAGTTGCTGATTGGTTAAAAACAAAAACCAAACAACATCCCCAAACCAACACAGAATCAAGAAACAAAACAGTGTCATGTTTGTCGCTGTCTGTTCTTTTGGTGCCATAGTAATTTCAGGAAATTGTTTGACTTACATGACACAGTAGGTTGTAAGTTGTATTAAAACAATGTTTATTATTTAATTACATGTTCTTTTTGGTTACATGTAGTTTTAATATTTATACAATTAGTTTTAATAATACTGCTTTGGGCATGTTGGTGGTAAGTTACATGACAGTGCATACTAACTGACTGAGCGCAGTTCAAGACTGCATTTATAGACCACAGAACAAATTCTGTAACCTACAGAAAAGCAAAACCACCTGCTTTCATCTAGTCAACTGGTTGTGATTGGATTAACAGTGACATAATAGTACCTTTCACTATCAGCCACATTTTCACAGAATGAAAAGGCATAAGCACACCAAAGTATCTAAGTGGAGAGTTTTTCAGGTAAACTGAAGAGTGCAACTTACATTTCAAATTTCTATATCCTTTAGTTCCTTTTTTTCCCTCAAAGAGTTAAGTGCAAGCTTTTTCCTATTGAAAAATGTCAAGAGATGTCATCTCTTTCAACACTGTTATTATCACTTCTGGGCTGCTACTTTTGCCTAATGGATCGCATCATCTTTCTGACTACATACATTTAGGAGGAAGAATTTGGAAGCACTACAAATGGTTTTCTACTGCTAGTATAAAATGGCTAGTGCAGTGCTAGTATAAAACTTGATTCAAGTCCTTCTGTCCTGTGCATGAATGCTCCTCAAAATGTCAGCCTTAAGTGCCTTTTACAACAGTGAAAGTCAGCTTGTTTTAACTAGCAGTTGTATAAACAATGGTTATAAACTTTCTTCTGCTACTACTGTAGTTGGATTAAACATAAAAACGAAAACACCAAACTGAGCCAAAACACCCATGAAATAAGTGACTGTAGGAAGTGTAAATGCACCATTACTTTACAAAAACTAGGGAAAGCTTTTCACACTTGTTCAGAAAATAATTCAAGTCCAGAAAGAAAAAATAAAGTTCTAAAAGTTGATTCCACAAACACTCACTTGTCACTTGATATGCTGCAGTCAATAACGGTTCTCTTGCTAGTGTTGACGATTAAGAAAGGCAGCTGTATTGTGGAGTTTGAGGCTGGGGGGCCTTGATTTTGTTGTTCATTTTGCTGATTTCTTTGTACCAAGTTTTTAAAAGCTATTTGCTGCAGAAAGAAAGAAAAAGCAATCACTGAACGAAGACATCAATGCTTCCAGGAACTGGAACTTCACAGCTCTTCTCTGCCAACTCTCAGTGCCTCCAGTAACATTCTGTCAGGTATATCTCCCTCCTATCCCCCCGACGTGAAACAAGGGAGTGTGTAGTGAAAAATGTTTCCTCACCCCTTTAGAAAAAGCTCTGCAGTCAGACATCTATCTCCTCTGTTATTCTATATGTGTAATTACCTCAGACTAAGAGCTCTTAACACTGAAACAAAAGTTAACAGAAATTACTGCATTCTGCCTTTCTCCTGATCCATACTTCCTTTCCCTTCTCATTCATCACCATCTTCTTCTCAAACTCAAAGCAATACATTTTGAAATTCTCCTTTTTCAGCAGGTGCTGTTTGTGACATCAGCCCCTTTCTACCATTTTGCCATATTGGACCATGCAGGAAAATACGTGGTTTTAAGAAACATAATTTGAGGGATTGGAAGTCTGTGTACTCACCCACTTTGAGGTACTATTTCTCATACTTACTTAGGTGGAAGATGGGTAGACAAAATCCCTAAGGACTGCTCAATCACTTGAAAGTGAACATTACTAAGAATATAATTACAGTTGTAGATAGTAAGGGTAGGGCAAATCTGTCATTTTCAGACCAATAGTTGGAGAATTTGGGTTGTGTTATTTTAATCAGGATAATTTTATGTTAATCAGAGAAGCTTCTAATTTATTAGGTGAGTTGGAATCAGAACTGTGTCCTAAACAGGGGGAGGATGGGAAGCCAGATATTTAGTTTTCCATGAATATTAGCTGAAAACTGTATCATTGTCTTTGCACCAAGGAAAAAAATAGCCTTACTGCCAGTAACTTCATGCAGAAGTTTGATTGCATTGAAATAGTGAATGCCTATACATAAGTGCTTTTATTTAACAATGCTCCTAACTGTACTTATAAAATGTTACTTTATTTATAAGGATGCATTTGAAATACATTCCTGCAAACAAAGCAAAAATTCAAGTTGCCTCTAAGTCTTCTTGTGTGCTTCTCAGAATCTACAAGAGCTGCCATTTGCCAGTCTTTCATTCTTAGGATCCAGACATTATTCTCTCCCCTAGAACAGCTTAGTATGTACTTACCCACATACAGCTGTAAATTTCATAGCCTAGAATGTGGTTTTTTTCAGTAGGAACTAGTCAGAGAAGGTAACTGGGGGCTTGGAGTTGTTCCAATTTTCACTAATGTTTGTAGTTTCAGCAGAACCTTTACAAAATGGCTGTGGCACACAGATGCAGCACATTGCTTTAGAATAGATAAAAAGGAACCAGGGTTTCAGGGTAAGAGGTTCCCAAGTTACAAACTTGAAAGATCTTAAGTATGAAACTTTTCCTCCCTCGTATATATCATAGCTAAAGAATTTAAGAGGTTCTAATGCATTGGATTCTTACTGGTTAATTTCATTTATATTAAGTAAGATAATCAAACACACACCTGCAGCAGCAGTTCCTGTAGCTGGGCTCGTTTCTCTTTTATCCGTTCAATCCGCTTCTGTTTTTCTATCTTAAAACACAAATGCATCATAATTAATTAGTTACCTTTCTGCTTCATTGTGCCAGATGGAACAGGTTTTACAGTGACATCAATGTGCTGAACACCTTTACAAAAAAGACCCCTTTTTATTACTAAGTGGTGAATTTCAGGGTACAGTAAGCAAATTTCAAATCTTTTCAGCCCCACCCATTTACTATATATACCTTATATTTACCTTATTTTACCTCGTCTTGTTTTTTTTCAGACAAATCATGTTGTCTCATGAGTATTTTTAAAAGACAGGACTGAGAAACCACAGCGTCTTCCCCTGTCAACAGTTTTACCTTCAGTAAAGAGCCAGCCCCTATGAGGCTGTATCTCTTCACCCATTCCTGCTCTTCTGTACTGTCCACTGAGTGCTGATTAGCACCAAATAAATACTTGAGGGGGTGCTTTGCATTTTTTTTTTCCCCTCTTGCCCTGCATTCTTTTTAATTGTGCGTCCCTTCCACTCTTCTCCCAGATGTAAGTTACCAGATAAAAATGTCATCATCTGCATCTTTCCAGGCACTTCCACTCTTTGTTTGGACTATTCACCTGAGACTTGATGGAAATAATGACATTTCAGAAGCAAAGAGAGTCAGCAGTAATGTTTTTTCCATTGGCATATCATCTGTTTCTTGTAACAATTAAATTTACAATACAAAGTTGTCTTCAACCTAAAAATGCAGTGTTTAGGTCAGTAATAGTAATGAATGCTTACTGACACTGCAGCTGTAACCAAACAGTGCTCTGGGAAAACACTAACAAGATGGGCAGTAGCCATCATGCTTCAAAAGGTATTTTTCCTCATTATCTTGCTGATGCCAGCTTTGCCACTGTTCTCAGCTTTCAACTACTTCTCCATTCAACTGAAACAATATATTAAAACTTACCTGGACTAATTACATTCCCAATTTACAATGCTTTTTATTTTATTATCATTTCATATTATTTGCAAAGCATAATCCTTGAGAAGACGAATTTTCCAAGTTGCTGTAATAGCCAAAATATTAAAAGCTTTTTTCTTATTGTATTGAGAAAGACGATAAATATAACCTGAAGAAAAAGCTGTCCTGTACTGGACAGACTACTTCCCTCCCCTTTTAGGACAGCTAATGTCACAAGTATTACAAATACAATGCACGTTAAGATGTATTTACAGATAGCTGCAGTGGGATTTTGCAGCAAATGCAATAACCTTTTATATTTATGGAATGTTTGGCCTGAAGCAGAAGCAACATTTGTGCATATAAATTCTGGCCTGCAAAAACATGGTATCTCTTAGCCTGCTGAAAAAAAACAATGGAAATAAGCAATAATTAAAACTTTTTTTCCTGCTAGCTTACAATTAGTATTTGACATCCTAGTGAAAATTATTTTTCCATTTAGTAGTCCCTCCAAGCACGCACAGAATAGCAAAATAGGTCTCTCTTCAACTGTGTATACAACTTTGTGCTGTATAGTGCCAGTTATGCTGTCAGTTATACTGACAAGTTTTTTTTTTTTTTTTTTTTTTTACTTTCTTGTTTACTTTGGGTTACTACAGAGTAAGTCTTAAAAATTATCCCTGATACAACAAATAAATATTTGCAAAGTAAACAGTTTTTGAAACTTGTGTAAGTTATACTAAATAAAACAAAACCAGGTACACAATAAACACATTGTTTCAGTTTAGTCAAATACCTAAAGGTGTTTTTTCATACTGTGCAAGAATGAAAACCAGTCAGGTTCAAATGGTGGGGAAAAGAAACCTCTTTTGAATTACAGCACCTCCATTATAATGACTTATGAACTATACAGAAGTTTGCATCTACCTCACTTTACCTCTAGATTCTGACATTCCTGAGCTGAGTTTGTAGGAAGGCCAATCCATCGGATTTCCTTTTTCTCCTTTGAAATTATGTTCATTGCCATCAACACATTAAGGGCATCATAAACTCTCCGTCTAATATTTTTCTGATCATAAGCCTGCTAAGAGACCAATGCAGCACTGATAACAATGAAAACATTCAAAAAAAACCCCACAAAAACCCAACCAACCCACCAAGAAACACATTCTTCATAGCTAAAGGACAAAAAGAGCAGTTTTAAGTCAGAGTGACAGTAAAACAATACTGTCATCTGCTTGGATGCAGGTCTGTTCACAAAGGAAAGTTTACGACCTCCTTGAAGCCTCTGAGCAGCAGTGGCCATCACAGCAAGTCTGTTACAGGTGAAAAGCATGACAAGACCATGTGTGGTGGATAAAACAGTCTTCGGTGATTTTTTTTTTTGGTCAGACTTCTCTATTTTGTTTATAATTTAGAGAGACCATATTTCTTAGTTTTAATTCTGTATTTTAAAAAGAAATTTGATATATAAATAATGTAAGAGTAAGTCACATTTACGAGATAGTTAACTGAGGGAAACTATGGGATGTGTCAGGATAGTGCAAAGCCGGCAGGCAGAGGAATTGTTTCATAAACCAGCCGATTTTATAGTGGTGGAAAAAAAATGTCCCCACATTTGCTTACCGAATCCGCAGCTAGGTGGCTGTTGGAATTTGTGAATTCTGATACCAGCTCATCAGCAACTTCATTGTATGAAGTGGTTCCTTTACGCTGAACTTTTTCACATACTTTCATGGAGAAGTGCCTCAGACCTTTCCCATTTTTGTCTCCTTTTTTGCTTCTTTTACTGTAAGGAGAAAAATAATCATTTTTATACATTGAAATTTAATAAGATTACTTTGTTATGCAGCAAAATGTCTAGAGTAAAAAGAAAACCCAAGAGCTTAAGCTTATAGTAAAGGGAAGAACAGGAACTAGAATAGAGTAAGAGTGGCCCTGTACTTGAGGTGTGCAGCACTGTGCACTCCTGGCAGATTCTTACATGACTCAAAATCTAGTTCCTGCTTTTTCCCCACTGTCAGCTGCTCCCCTATGGAAGTTTTCAACTGAAGCCAATGCTGCAGCACTCAGCTCTCCCTAGGCTGGAATGTTTTTTGTTTCAAAATACCTCACTTTTAGAAGCCCAGTTATTTTCACTGATTCTCTAAATTTTATATTAATAAGTTAAGTTTTACTCTACAAAGGTTATTTTATTTCCTGTTGCATACAATTTCACTGTATTTTCTCAGATCAATTTTTAAATCTAGCTATTACAATTGTACATGCTTTGATTTGCTTTTTAATTAAATGTTCTTCAGAGACAATACGACAAATGTCAGTAAGTTTACAAAATATGCTTGAACAAGACTGCAAATCTTACTTCATTCTTGACTAACAGGATTACAGACACTCAGAAGCAAAAATACTAATATAACATAACCTAATAATATGCAAGACTCACATTAAAAAAAACCTTTTGCCTTTGCATTTCTTAATGAAAACATTGGAATTATTTGCATGCATTTCAAATTCTCAGTGGAATTTCTTTTTTAAAAAACTACAGCTATAGAAGTTGATTTGATTGATAGTTTCAGGGAGAGTTGTTATTTTACAGAGGTAGACTTAGCCACAGCAACTGCAAAAGGCTAAGAAAAACATAAAAACATAGGAATGCTTTTGAAATTTTTGAATGTATTTAAAGAAAATATAATACAAAAAATGACAGAAGAAAAAGCAGAAAAGAACAGCAGAAGATTAAAAAAAAACAACAACAAAGCAAAACAAACAAACAGAAAATCCTCTTAAAACCTGTGCATTATTTGAGCCATCACTGATAGGAAAACAAAGAAAACAAGTTGAGTGCATTCCATGTACTTTTGGAAGCAAAAATCAGCTATCTGGTTACAAGTATTTGTCCCACTGAAAGCTGAGAAAGCAAACTGAAAATCTTGTTTCCGAAGATGTGATTTTCTCTCTCTTTCACAACTCCAATTTGGTCTGTAGCAGTAAATGTAAATATATCAGAAGTAAATATAAATAATAAGTAAATGTTAATATTAGAAAGTGATACAGCAAAAAGTAACAACTTATAACTACAAAGAATAAACACACTGACAGCTTTTAATGGGGGAAGTGAAAACTCACTGAAGTGGGAATTAGCCAGGCAGTGCTCTGAAGGGCAGATTTAAAGCAGCAAAATAAAATGTAAGTTCAGTAATACTCACCTTTCTGAAAAATCTGATTCTATAAATTCTCGAGTTCTCTTTCTTTCCCTAGGAGAACACAATTCAAGGTTACTTATGTTAAAATAACATTTCTTTGATCAATAAAATCAATGTATTTGGTGTCTAGCTAAATAATGCATTGTTCAATGCTTACTGAAGACAACAGCACACGGTTTGACTGAATTTGAAAGAAAAAGATGATGACTTTGGATGTTGTCTGAGTCCACTGTCAGACAGGTAAGAAATACAAGTTTTGTTCCCAATTTTACCATGTTCTAGCCTTATGCTTTTATGGAACTGACTTTATCTGGAACTACAACCTGGATGTGGCTCTGGACAGCCTGGTCTAGTGGCTGGTGACCCTGCTCACAGCAGGGGAGTTGAAACTAGATCACCTTTGAGGTCCTTTTCAACCCAGGCCATTCTATGATTCTATGATACAGGAAACATTGATATAAGCTAGACAACCAAATATCTTCCAAAAGGAGAACTTGGACTCCTTTGAAAATTCCTATTTACAAATGCCCTATGTGGAGGAAAGTGCTTTCAAACAGTGCAGAAAACAGATCCTACATTTACTTGACACTGAATGTTTTGGTATCTTTAAGCAAAAAACAACACACAAACTATAAACACATGTACATATTAGAGCTGACACTATCATAGCAGAGCGGTACTCTGAAGTAGCTTCTGACATGAGCTTAGCACAGGAGTAGTAGCTGTTAATCATTGCCAGTTTCCTTATAGTTCTGTTTATTAGCTGCATCTTGAAGATTTCACAAGTTTTATTCCAACCTCGTCTCTTACTCTTGCAGCTGGTAACATACAGTGTTTGGGAACTGTCATAGCATATTACTTCCTGTTGCTACCCTGTTATTCCAAAGCAGTCTCACAGCAGATACACACCAGCTAAAAAGCTGACTGTGTTAATGAAGAGAGCTGAACTAAAATGATGGCTCTGAAGATGCTGTGAAAGCCTGCATGTGTCAGGCTGTGCAATTCAGAACCTTCAGTCTGACTAATCCCACCTCCAGCATCTTCCTAGCAGCAACAGCAGCAATCCCTGTCCATGGTGCTTACTGAGTGAATGAAAAAGCTGTTTGAGGAGATAAACAGCCAGCAAGAAAACCAACCTTAACAACTGTACACCTGTTTCCACTGGCACACAGGAACAGACATTTCCATACAGCAAAGTTAAAGCAAACAGCAAAGCAACTAGTGTGTGTAACTCTGTGTTCACATGCTTAAGACATAAGCACTTCATATGCTAAGGACTGTATTCTTTTTAACTGTGGAAGAACTAGAAGCTGTGAGCTAACATATAGCAAAAATAGCATAAATAAAGGAAGAAAAAAAAATCATAACAGATACTGATTTTTGTAATCTGTCGTGTGTAAATAAGCCAGGATCTTACCCTGGAATCCAACCAGTAGCTTCCGTTATGTGTGTCTGCGTCACCATCGTTGGAGCTGGGTTATACGGACTCCCAATCAGAACACCCCCTGAATTGGTCAGTCTTTGTGATGTGCCTATTATCTACAAAATTTAAAAATTGAAATTAACAAAGAAATAAAATATCAGCAAAAAGCACATCTTTGATAAAACAGGTTAACATATCCTAGAATTCATATGAAGGATGCACAGATGTAAATCAGATATAAGTTGAAAGTAAGATGCACAGAAGAGGTGTCATTAGATCTTCACACAGGACAGTAATTACAGTATTGGTAAACCTCTGCTTATTGCATCTTATTACTGTATTACTTTTATGAACAAGAACTAGACAAACAGAAATAATTATTAGCTGGAGCATATAAGATTTGTACCTATATGTATCTGATTGTTTCTTCCAGAGTGAATCTAGGTAATTTGTCGATTACTGGAATCAGAAAAGCCTCATTCCCAATGGGTTTGTCTCTTTTAACTATCTGCATTTGGTACCAAAGATAATCTGAGATCCCTCTCAATTATTCCCTGCAGTTCACAGCATTCACAAGACTACCAGGCCCTCTAACAAGCTAGGAGTACAAGCTTGTATCTGTGAAAGTACATGTGAAGTCTATACTGTAGAAAAAGAATTTACAATACATTGATTCAAAGCTGTTGAAATTCAATGCGCAGTGGTTGTTAGCAGTAAAACACTCGCTCTCAACTGCTAATTCACATCTAAGTTAATTCTTTAACACAGGTTGCCAGTAGAATGTAGATAGCATTTAAAAATGGGACAGTATTATTAGTTAATCACTAAAATAAAAATGTTAAAATTCCTTTTATTCCAATTATACAAAAGCTTCTTGGAGAATGCTTTTTACTCACATAACTTATTTTTAAACTTTATTTCGCTTTTAGTGATATGTTGAGAAACAAATGTGTTAAACTTAGTCCTTTCCCTTACTACTTCAATGCCCATATAAGTAGCACATGGCAGACACTTTATTTGGTGTCCATTCATATTGTTCAAGCAACTAGAAGAAAAAAAAAACATTATCTGAAGAATTTCCAGCTTCTTTAATTCACTAAGCAGTACTTTACATCCCACCTAACCCCAAACTATAATTACATTTATGTATTTCTTTTATCTGAATAAACAAATTTTATCTTATTTATCCTTTGTGTTACAGTTAGGCTTGACAGAGAGAGACAAGTGGGAAAAGAAGTGAGCATATATGGCTCTGCCAGCACGTGGCAGACATGTCAGAAAGAAAAGATTTTAAGTATTTTGCATACTGAAATTCCTTTCTTCACGTTTCACCCACTCATAGGTTTCACACTGCTCTACTGATGTCGTTTAAATCCAAAAGAAGATGTATCATAAAAAGAATATTTTATGTCCTTATAATTTTGACAACCAGTATAATAAATTGAGGTACAAAATCATGTTTGTGTATTTTAAAATACTGACGTATTTTAAATTTTAAATTGATGTATCATAAAAAGAATATTTTATGTCCTTATAATTTTGACAACCAGTATAATAAATTGAGGTACAAAATCATGTTTGTGTATTTTAAAATACTGTGTATTTTAAAAAACTGACGTTTCTTTCAATATCATGGTGCCATCTAGTGGAAATAGACATTTATAGAGAAGAGGTATCGCCAACCTGAGAGCATTGACAGATTACAATACGTCGAGTACTGACATTCACTGCTGTTGTTTACTTTGCTGTACAGAAATCTTTTAACATGCAGCTGTGCACCTACACCAAAACATTTTCCTTTTTCCTACAACCCATCAGAGATTCAAATACTGGACTGGCTGTCACCAACTAGTGACAGAATTTGTACCAGAATTACTGAAGTGGAGCTTGTAAGTGACCACTTGTGGCAGTCCAATGGAGAACAGCATCACAGAGCAGAGTCAGACCAGGCAAGATTTTCCAATCTAACTTTCAGCAGAACAGGAGAGTGAAACAAAATAAGAAGTCTCCTACCATGCAGTAACTTACACCCCTTCCACCTGCTATAGAACTTACCCGTAACTAAGGGTGATTTTAGAAAACCAGTGCCTTGAGCAGAATGTGGTAATAAGAGGGAACTGCATTAACTGACTGCTTTCCTCTATTCTTGGCAATTATTTATTGTGCTCAAAATATTTAGAGAGTATCATTAATATTCCTGGTAATTTTTTTTTCTTAATATGCTTTTGACTCAGTGGAAATGTCAGCTGGTGAAGTTGTTTCAATTTCCAGTCAGAGCCAGAAAGATAATCCGATATATTTAGATAATAAATTTATAAATAATTATGGAGCAGTAATCCTGGCATGCCCAGATTGCTGCATCTGCATGTCGTCACCTTCCCATCCATGTGGGATACTTCAGGCTTACACCTAAGTCTGTATGTTCTAGCGAGGCCCACATCTTCACTTTTTCCATGTTTCCATATTACATGAATGGGAAGTTATATATCTAGTTACATGAGTTCACGTTCTGTCATTGCAAAACTTACCATTTGGGGTCCAACATTCACATTGATTGGTCCTAAGGTTTTTGGCAGTATCTTTGCTGGGGAGTTGGTACTGGAAACTGGTAGTGTGATTACTGAAATATTACCTAAAAAAATAAGGCAATGAAAAGACAGTTTTAAGTTTCTTCCTTTGTAATGTACAAAAAATACTTTGCTGAATTCTCACATCATTTTTACATTTTGGAATCAAGTTAACTTTTTCTGTCTTACACACTGCCACAGAACAGCCACCAGAACCCTTAGCAGACGTCACAAGGACACCTTACAAAACTGCTAATTATGTATTAGCATTTTATTTCCAGAAGGAATTCTTCTAGCCTAAGACAGAGGGCACAAAGCCCACCATACACTTCAGCTTTAAAACTCTTGGGTGTACTTTTAGACTTCCAGAATTTCCTGAGTTGGAAAGGACCTGCAAGGATGACAGAGTCCAAATGAAACAAGTCTATATATTTATTAATCCTACTTACAATCACAAGCATACACACAAAGTATGTATCTACACATCTTCAGCTTTAACCACTTCTGACTATGCTGAAGTATCTAAAACATCAGAAAAGCGCATCTGTGTCATGGTAGAGAGTAAATGACACCTTTGCACATTACCTGAAGTAACTGCCAGGTGGCTGGATGTCAGGGTGAAGCCAACCACTCCACCTCCAACCCAGCATGTGTCCGTAACAAGATGTTTATTACCTCCATAATCCTACACTCCTTACAGATCTAAGTCATCCTGCCTTCATACAAAGAAGCACAGCTGTATGCTGAGTACCTCACAAATGCTGCTGCTACTCCCCTTTCCCATACTCTACCTTTTAATCTTGATTACTCAGACTTAACGTCTCCATCAGAACTGTCATGCAGCACTTCCACTACCCCACAAATACTCTAAGCATTCTATACAAGCCACTCAAAGTGGTGAAAACACACATTTACCTTCAGACACGGTGGCAGTAGCAGCTCCTATCTGTCTGACAGTTTCAAAGCAAGAGAGCTGCAAATCAATCAAACACCTCCCTGCATTCTTATGCACAGCCTCATCCAAATTCAAGTGTTAGAGTGGTGGGTCTGGAGGCAGAATGAAATACAAGGAAGAGTTGCCACTACCTCATAACCCACAAAGCCAGCTTGGGCCTAGCTGAGGTCACGAGCTGTAAGGACAAAGACTGACTCCTTAAGAGCTCCTCAGGCTTTCTGGCACTAGCAGACAGAAACTAAAGGCAATCCGAGGTGACGGGTTCCTTCAGCACAACACAGATACCAGCCCTGCCCTCCTCCTGCCACAGGGGTTGGCAAACTTTGAACTTAGTCCAAATAAGATCTCTGTTACCCATGTCTTTTCTCACAGTGCTAGTTCACCTCCACGGCCCCCTATTTTCATTTAATCCTGAAGTGTGGTTGTTATAGTACAGCCACATTCTGCCCTGAAAGAAAGTAATCGTAATTTCAGCAATGTAACAGCTGTGTAATACAACGCAGAAACAACCCAAGAGAGGAAAAAAAAATACTTAGTAAAGGATGTTCTTTATCTTCGGCACAGAAGTAAAAAGGATGCAGCTATATTTAAATTCTCACCTTTATAAAAAACGAACAGAGATAATAGAATTGGTCACAATAAGACAAGGATGTTTTAATGTTCTGTGCAAATCTCTCTGGCACCTGGAGTTACACTGCTACTAAATATTGCTTCTCCAAAAGGCAGATCTGTATCTGAGGACACCTTCAGAATTTATTCACCTAACTCACCTAGAAGAAAAAAAAAAAAAAAGCAAACCACACACTTACAAACCCAAGCCCCAGAGTAAATCTTTGCTCCAGTATGAAATACCTCCTGACATAGGGATGAAGTACAGAGCAATTTACAACTTACATACGCCCTGTTCATATACTGAGCTCAAAAAGCTCACTAACCTGACTAGTTATTTGCCACTTTTCACTTTTGCTGCAGGATTTTGCTGAGGATGTATTAAGTTGTGCTGGCACTCATCAAAACCCATCTCACTGCAGTGTGCTGCCATCAGTGGCACTGCTGCTCACCTCCCAGGTACTGCTATAATTTATTTTTTTTTCCCCACTGCTGCACCTGAACATTTCCATACCTTCTTCTGCAAGATGAGCTCTCATGCTGTTTCTCCTTGTCTCTTTTCTTACCACAGAACAAATTATTCCTTTGGCACCTCTGATAAAGTCACATGCTAAAGCACAGTACCATTTTGAAATGCTGGCATTCAGCCTCAAGTTTATCACTGGGCTACATCACACAGTCATCTTCAGCACATTTCTGGGGCTGCAGAGGTCTGTAACGTGTAACATTTCAGAACACAAGACTGAAACATGTCAGATTTACTGCAGTGTGCAATCAGCACTGCTGGTGTACAGTTACGTTTACACGTCCGCTCACTGACCTCTACATCAATCAGTGTGCCCATGGTTTGTGTTGTCAGCGTGCAGCTTGGAGACTGTAAGCCACTGTCAATAGTTTTTAGTGTATATGCACGTACCCACACAAGTCTGTGTACTGCCCACACATAGGCTGAAAACCGTAGCTTAATAATTGAGACCCGCAGGCAACACTACACACAACCACCAGATGTACTGTAGCAGGTCTGGAAAAAATACTGATTAAGAGTTAATAGATAACTGCTATCTTCATTTATGAGATCACGTAGATAAATGTACATGGCCACAGCAGCGTTAATAATACAAGGACTGTTCAAATAACTGCATCACGGTTTTACAGAGACAGTTGCTTAAATATGAAGTATGTACAAGAGCCTTTCTGGCTTGAGTTAGTAACAGAGGCCTTACTTCTTTTAATACCTACAACGGGATCAGTCTGTTCTGATAAGTGAGGCCTCCTAAGCCACGAACAGAAAGAAAGAACAAACTTTTGCACAGTAAGAGCACTCATTCTGCATCTTTCTCAGTGGCTGAAAAAATGATAAAGTTTAATTCATTATCAATTAAATATTCCTTTTCCTCTGTGTTTTTTTTTTTTTTTTTTTCAGAAAGAATATAATAGTCCAAACATTCACGTGACCTGCATCAGTAAGTCAAATATTTTAAAATGCTACAAATATTTAACAGTAAGAGCAGATTTTCGTCTCTTCTCATAGAAGAAGTTAATGCGTCTCAAAATGCATCAAGCACAGCAGCAGCCCAACCTGACGAAGCACATTTTGCAATGGCTATCAGCAAGCACTCTTCCTCCTCTGCACAGTGGTGCAGCTGCTGAGCCCAGCCCAGGCCCTGCAGCAGCCCAGCTCTGTGGGACACAGCTGCTGCAGAGATGTGGAGCCACTGCAGTGAGAACATCACCGCTGACTGCAAGCAGTCAATTCAACTACAGCAAGAGAGCTGGCATTGCCTAAGACAACTACCTGTGTTTTACACCAAATTTTTGAGGTTACTTCACCTCCTCTTGCTGAAGATCCGGTAATTTCTAAAGTTCTGAAGGCAAGGCTGCATTACAAAACAGTGAGCATCAACAGGAACAATTCCTTCAAGTCTTATTTATGAAAAGTACAAAAAAAGAAGTCATGCTGTTTGCAAATCATAAAAAAAAGCCACGAAAGATTTCTGTATTGAACCGGAGGTAGCAATAACACCAAACAAATTATATATACTTTATCATACAGGAGCTGTAAAGGCTTTAAACATGATCAATGTCCATATAAACACCAAGTCTTAGTAACACCCATCATATGGCAACCAAACGGTGCACCGAATCACTGTGAAAAAGCAGTGCATACAGTGGTAAGCTGAGCACTTCAGCCTCCTAGTCACGGTAATCTTACAGCATGGATGGAAAAGGTCAGCATAGATGGATCAAACTAGAACGATTTGTATAATCATATTCAGTTCTTACATCGTGTTTCTCAGCAGTACAAAGCACAAAAGAGGTCGGTGTCATTCCCATTTTACCAATGGAAAACTGAGCACATGGGAAAGAAACCGAGTTAAAACTCCCATAGAGAGGCTTTAAACACATATACTTAACAGCACCACAAACTGAGCATGCTTGCCACTGAAGCAAATTCAAGATAAAAATCTGTCAGTGGACACACGCCTGATTCTCTCAGAACACAAAGCACTTTGCTTTGTGGACATTGTTTTTCCATCACTCAGGCACCACTAGTACTGTTTATTCTGGAGAAAAAATAGTGTTGCTGTTCTTTCATATTTAAAAAAGCATAGTACTAACTAATACGCCTCCTGGCCCGTGCAGAATGTTGTTACCTGCACAGACACACGTATGAAACTCAGATGAGTTGAGTACACACATGCTTACATCACACACCAATGAATCAGCCCACAAGGCTTCTTTTACATTTTCACACTGCGTTCTAAATAGTGTAACTTCACAGAAACAACATCCAGTCCTGTACCAACATGGAGCTGAAGAGGTTTCAGCAAATTTCCTGTTTAAGTAAATCTGCTAGCTTATTTGCAAAGACCATCAGAAATGATGTAGATCTTAGAATTTATAGAATCTGTTGCAGTCAGTTTGAAGGAAACCATTGCTAATGGGAAACAGATCCACCAGCTGGAGCCTCACACAAAGCATCCGTCAACAAAAAGACACTTTGAATTTTTAAACAAAACACAACAGGAATTTTGGTAATCAGCATTTCACGTTCAAAGCTCAGAAATACATATCCATTATTAACTTACAACCTGGAAATGTGCTGTAAAAAAGTTTAAAGTGTATCAACCAACAGTCCTTTTAAATAATATTGCCAATGGCCTGACAGCAAAAGCAAAGAAAAAAGTTCACAGTTATCAAATGTGGCTATTCTGCACCTGGTGTTTCCTTAGGCTCCTCTACTAAATTAAAAAAGATCTCCAAGATGAGCAAGATGAAGGCACAAAATTATAAAAGCGCACAAAAAACCTCAGTATTAATTTTCCTATGTTCTTTCAGTACATTTCTTCATTTGTTTACTGCACAAACACTCTAAGCTATAAACATAACTTGGAAAATTCCATAGTCGTTAGGGGCACATACATATCTAGAAATGCAAAATGTCAAAGAGGTGTGTAGAAAAGAAAAAAAAAAAAGATTAAAAAAAAGAAGAAGAAGAAAAAAGGGTCAGCACTCCACGCAGTGATACACTGACCAGCATATTTTCAGCCTTTTACTGCTCGATTTCTAACAAATGTATAGCAGTTAACAGTTGTACTGATCTCAAAATACCACATGCAGGCTTATTGATAACCAGTTCTGTTGTCTTGGACGTTTCAGCGGATCTCTTTAAGCACACAATGAACTCCCCAGGGCTCATCAGGCCTTGTGCTGGAACCCCCAGAGGCTGCAGTCTGTCAGACATGCAGCAGCACCATGAGAATGCACTTAAGCAGCCCTTATCACCCAATGCTCATTCCTGTCCCAGGCCAGCACAGCCACATCTATGGTTATGCAGTGAATTTACCTTTTTTTTTTTTCTTTCTTTCTTTCTTTTGCAAGGGAGGAAAATGGGGTATTTTTCCACTGAACTTGTTCCCCAGTCCAGCAAACCACTGAGCTACCTACAAAGCTGTGCTGCCACAGAGCAAAGGGTAATGTTTAAAAGCAGCTGTGATTGCCCAGGCACAACTTTAACTGGCACTGTTCCTGCAGCAAATCTCTACAAAAACAAGCAAAAGATCAAATCACAAGAGGGAGGAAATTGGAAATATGTAATTAAACGTTGAAAAAAAGCCCACAATCACAATGCAAGAAATCTGTCATACTGGTTACTGCTTCCATTATAGCAGCATAACTATAAGTCCTGTGCATTGAAAGTCTGCACCCTAGAAAACCAGTCCTACAAGAACCACCTGAAACACACGACTAAGGTGTTTGGTGCTCACAATTAGAAAAGAGCAGACTCGGGGCTGAAAACTTTATTTCCATGGAGTAGATTACAGCATCAAGACTCATTAAGACTAGGAACTACATAAAAAACAAACTTTATTGAAATTAGTGGTATTAACTGCTAAGCTGCATTAAAAGTTAAGATCCTCTCTCAAAGCAATTTGAATTGCAGCTTGATCAGATTCAGTGATCCTCTCCCATCCAGCCTGTTACATGACAGGTGGTCTAGAGCCAGACTCCCTTCTCCTTCCACAGCAATGAAAGGAAAGCACCATGTAAATACACAGAGCCTAAGAATATAGTAACCGTAATAAAAAAAAGTAATAAGTACAGTAGGATTCACCAAAATTGTGGTCATCTACGTTGTGTATCTGAAGATGAGAATCAAACATATCACTCACAGTCAATCAGCCGAAAACCACTGCTTCTTTCCTGCACTTCCCATTAACCAATCACTGTCAGCTGCTGCTCACAGACATAAATGGATACATTGCCAACCTCTTCACTCATGTACAGACACTGGTCAGCCAACAGGTTTTGCTTAGGAGGCAAACAGAACTATTAGCTGTGAAGTAATCTCATCTTTTACACACAAAGGCATTCCATATGAAAGATAACAAAATATAATTCAAATAACTTCTATGCAATTTTTGACAGACACAAATTCAGAGTTCTTTAATTTTCAGGGCATTTGTTACTGCAAATGAATGTTGTTCTCTAGGTTAATTATCTGTGGATATAACTGATGAGATTTAATGTCATGTATGCCAAGTACTTTACTTACTTTTAAAGTAAGCTCAAAAGATGTCAAAGCTAGATCCTAGAAACAGTGCAACTAAAAACACAAGCTAACAAATACAAGCTAGTACTTCCTAGTCATATTTCTAGTTCTATCACATGTATTATCTCCTCATTCCTACCAGCAGCTATGAGCTATGAATTCAACAACCTGCTGTGAAGTCTGGGGGGGAAAAAAATGTTCTCCTAAAACCAAGCCTTGATAATTGTTGCTTTTCTTAGTCATTTTGCTGTTGTTTTTGTACTTACCACATCTCAACTTCTTAAGTTTATTAAAAATATTAACTTATCTCTCAAAAATAAAAAGCCCACGGTAACTATTCTCAGCAAAACAAGCAAAGTTACAGGACCCTGCACACAATCCCAGCTGAGGCTGGCAGACCTCTGAAGCTCACTCACCTCCTTGGCCCCTGCTGCCGATGCCATCTGCAGCTTCTGAGCACCTCCAAGGAGGCCCACAGCCTTTCTGGTCCCTGTGCCAGTGCTCTGGCACCCACACAGCACAGAAGTGCTTCCTGGTGCTCAGAGGAAGCTCCTGTGTGTCAGTTTGCACCTCGTGCCTCTTCTCCTGGCTCTTTGCACCTCCTCTCAAAATAGGCATACACATGGGTAAGATGCCACTGCACTTGCCACAACCTCTTGCTGGCTCAGTAGCACCGCATGGCCCTTCCCACAGAGCTGCCTCCAGTCTGCCCAGCCCTATGGCCAGCAGCACAGGCTGTCATGCTCTGGCTGCAAGGCTCTGTGTGCACAGCACACCTCAGTGAGACACCTCTGCAGAGCTGTTGCTGAGCACCCTGAGCAGGCGTAGGGCTCCTTAATCTGCAGCTGAGCCCTCACAGACCTGGACCTGGAGTGGGCTCTGGGACAAGTGACCAAGTGGCAACACAGGTGTGTCCCTGCCTGCGATCAGTGCGAGGAGACCAGAGCTTTGCTGCAAGCTTCTGCCATGGAAACTCAGCATTTAACCATGCACAGGAATGGATCAGCATACCAACAATCAGCACCTGCTGCAGGATTCTATCTTCTTACCACTGGTATACTGTTTTACTGTAGCCCTTACTGTAGCCCTTTAACACTATTTAAAACACTTGTTTTTTTGTTTTTTCTTTCCAGAAAGGTAAGCATGCAGTCACAAAGGAAAAAAGCACAGTGCAGAAAGAAATGCTGCGTGCAGAAGTCCTATCCTGGGGCTCTGACTCAGGATTCCTCTTTCAGACCTGCACTCTGATGTGTAAGGCTGGCTGGGGAGATCCAAGAGCAAAGTTTTACAAAGCGGAAGCAGCGTTCAGCCAGGAAGCTGCCAATGGCAAGTCCCAGCAGTCTCTAGGAATTACTTTTCTCTATTTTTTCACTAAACAAAAGCAAACACCATTCTGAGTTAACGTTCCACAAGGACTCAGATACTTCTAGGCATGCCTGAGAAGTAAAATCCAGTTTTCTTCAGAATGCAGCAGCGAGCCTTTTACAAGGATTACATATTTGGATTTATGTGTTTTAATCTGCAGTCGCCACATTTAAAATATCCAAACCCACTGTAAATCTCAACTGCATTTAGATTCTCCTGAACTATAGGAGAAATTCTTTTTCTCCAGATATCTATAATCTATGCAAGAATTAAAAACTACAGAAAGCACTCTAAAAAGTCTGATTTGAAAAAGCTAATGCAAGATCACCTCAGTATTCAAATGCACAGGAAGCAAGCAAGGAATAGGAAAACGGAACCACCAAATACAACAAACGACCTGCCAACCTATTCAGGAATGGTAAACAAGATTTAAAAATCAGCAGAAGTGATATAGCAGTACTTTCAGACTTGCCTGTTGAATTGCAGTACCTAAACAATCGGTGTTAATTTCTCATAAAACAGAATAAACCTGAAAAATACCAAGAGGTTAACAGTGGGAAGGCACTACAGATCAACACAGGAAAGACAAATGGCAACAGCAGCTGCAGAATTACTGTTTCAAGTTGTTGGGAGGGTGCGATGCTTTCTAGAGCATGCCTTAAGCAAACGACATCTGATGTAATTGTGGTTGCCAAACCACTCTCCATCCTATTTGAAAAATTATGCCTGTCAGACAAAGTCCCTGATGACTGGAAAAAGAGAAACATCACTCCCATATTCAAGAAAGGGAGAAAGGAAGTCCCAAGGAACTACAGGCTGGGGAGCCTCACATCTATGCCTGGGCAGCTTATGGGATGGATTCTCCTTGAAGAGATGTTAAGGCACGTGAGAGATGAAGCAGCAACCCAAGACAGCCAACATGGCTTCATGAAGGGCAGATCCTGCCTGACCTGTCAGGTGGCCTTCTATGATGGAGTGACGGCATCGGTGGACAAAGGAAGGGCAACTGATGTCATCTATCTGGACTTCTACGAGGCCTTTGACGTGGTCACAAACCATATCCATTTCTCTAAACTGGCAGGATGTGGATTCGAAGGCTGGACTATTTGGTGGATAAATAATTGGTTGGATAGCCAGAGGGTTGTTGTCAATGGTTCTGTGTCTGAATGGAGGCCAGTCATGAGTGATGTCTCCTAGGGGTCTGTCTTGAGACGGGCGTTCTTCAACATCTTTATCAGTGACACAGACAGTGGGTCTGAGTGCACCCTCAGCCAAGTTTGCTGATGACAAACTGAGTCGTGCAGTTGACACAGTAGAAGGGAAGGATGCAGTCCAGAGGGACCTGCACAGGCTCGAAAAGTGGGCACACAAGAATCCCATTAGGTTTAACAAGGCCAAGTGCAAGGTGCTGCACTTGGGTTGAGGCAATCCCAGATATGTTTACAGACTGGGAGAAGAACTTAAGCAGCACCATGCAGAAAGACTTGATGGACGGACGAAAAGCTAGACACGAGACAGCAGTGTGCACCTCAGAAGGCTGACAGTATCCCAGGCTGCATCAAAACAGGAGAGGCCAGCAGGGAGATAGAGATTGGCCCTCTGCCCTTGTGAGGCCCCACCTGGCATATTGTGTCCAAGCCTGGGGCCCCCAGTACAGGAGGGATGAGGAGCTGTTGGAACGGGTCCAGAGGAGAGCCCTGAAGTGATCAAAAGTCTGGAGCACCCCTCGTATGAGGACAGGTTGAGTTAGGCTTGTTTAGCTTGTAGAAGAGAAGGCTCTGGGGAGGCCTCACTGCACTTCCAGTACTTGAAGAGAGCATACAAACAGAAGGGGGACCCACTTTTTACACAGTCTAGTAGTGATAGTACAAGGGGAAATGGCTTTAAACTAAAAGAGAGGAGATTTAGGTTATATGTAAGGAAGAAATTTTTTAGTCAGAGAATGGCGAGATGGATATCTCATCTCTGGAGGCAGTTGGATGGGGCCCTGGGCAGCCTGATCTGGTGGGGGGCAGCCAGCCCATGGCAGAGGGTTGAAGTTAGAGAATCTTTAAGGCCCCCCCTAAACTAAGCCATTCTATGATCTCTCTTTTACTTTGGAACACATCATAAGTCCATCATATTTCAGTCTAAGACCATGGTGAAAGCACATCATGAAGAGCAGCAGCTGTAATATCTCAGCAGAGATGGCAGGTTTTTAGTTATATCCCAAGGTAAAAATCAATAAATACACATAAAATAATATTAGTGCATAATATTTTTGAAAATACAGAAGAGCAGAGGTAAATAATACATTGACCATTCCACAAGCAAAATATAATAACGACTAGGAGCAGTAAGATTGAGGTACTACTACTAATAGTAACATCCTCTGCTTTATGAAGTTATTCAGTTCACTTATTCTCTGGACAAATCAATTGCTTGCTTCAGAAATTGTTTGAAGATATTGCACTTCAGTCTTTTGCCTAGTCTCATGACACAATAATCAAAAACCACTGAAACAAGAAGGGTAATTATCTTGCCAGTGCCTAGCAAACACTTCTCAAAGACCTAAAACCAGCTGGGGGCGGTACAGTTTGGAAAACAAGGAAGCTATCGTAGCTCTACAAATTATGTCTAGATTCTTTCATTTTTTGACTCTGAAGTCTAATAGATCTAAATTGTTGTGAAGAGCCAAAAATCCTTCTTCTAGCTGGTGCATGCACTTCTTTATTGCACTACATAACAGCAAACAACATTTACTTAAAAAGATTCACTGAGGCATTTCACAAATTGTAAATCCAACTCTTCCAGTGCTTTAGAGGAGTTGCAGAAGTATTTCATCAGAATCTATAGCTGTTCTGATGGCCAATGCACTGGTCACAAGTGATTCACCAAGAATGTAAGATGAAATTGGAGGGGACAAAACTATTACTTTAAGCCGTCCAGCCACTTACAGAAGTACACCAACAACTTCCACTCCTGTTTGGGAAGATTACTACAATAGAGTCTAGGAACTTTAGGGTGGGAAATAGGAAATTCATAACATTACTCACAATTAAGTAAAGGAAATAGAAGGGTTATTTTACACTTCAATTGCTTTTTCTACCATCCCTATTCTCCCTCTGTAAACTTTGACATCAGAAGCACACGATGTTTGTAACACATCATATCTACCAGTGTGGCTGCAGAAAGTACATTTTGAGAAACTAAATTCTGAGCATCCCAAAACAACACATACTGTGCTGTGAAATATTCATTTAGTAAACATAAGAGAGAAATAAATCTTAGTGTATGCTTCTCTACTACATATGCAGGTAGAATTCTCTTACCTTTTGTTGGACTCTGGTTCTGATCTATAAATCCTTTCAAGTCTCCATTTGTGGAAGTCACACCAACCTGAACAAAACATTTTTCAAGTCTTAAAATATGACAGACCTTTCCACATTTTCCAGTATGCAACCAACAGTATTATGAAAGTAATCTGTTCTGCACTGCTGAAACATCATAATCCTATGGCTTGCAGAGCCTAACGAGAGCATGATATGTGAAGCAAGTTTCCAAGACATTGACTGCGTATAAATGAAGGCATTAACTACATTTTTAAGTTCTTAACTAAGAAAACCCAAGTCCCTGTACATTCTCATGCTGTACTATACGTGCCCCAAGAAGCACATTATCACTGTCTGAGTCATTGTCCCCTCCAAGTCTTACAAGGCAGCTGCCACCAACAACACTACACAGCCCACAGGTTTGAGGAGATGTGACTACGATGTATTTTATATACATCTCCTAGTCTTTAGAGATAATTTACACAGAATAAATTACTGGAGACACAGGGAACTTACAGCCATATTCAGAACAGTGTGTCTGATTTTGGCATGTACACAAGGCACAGAAAGGTAGAGTTTGTTTAGAAAAACACAAGGTCACCACTCCTAGACAGGGAGGAAAGAGACAGAAAGTCCCCAAGTCCCAGGTAGTAAGGCATGCACCCAGCAGCAGCAAGCAGCGATGCAGCACTCCACTGTTTCAGAGCATTGAATCTCCAGCACCTTAGTGAACAAGGTACTTTGGTTTGCTTCCAAGATGGAAGCTGCCATAAGCACCGAGTGACTGAACTCCTCTGGAACCTGCTTAGAATCAGAGCACGATTCCTCCAGCAGGCAATTACGGAAACTACCAGAAAGTCTTTTAAAAAATACTATAAAATGTGAGTGCTTCAATAAGTGACTAGGACAAGATCCAAGATAAGCAAAAACAATTATGCTATCAAGGATCAAGTATTTGCTCTATTTTACAGATGTATGCGGTAAAAATAGGACATTTGCTAGTGTCATTTGTAGAACTGTAATCATATCTAATCAGAGAACTGTTTGATTGCACACAAATCAAATGGTGGCACTGCAGCAGGGCAGGGCTGAGCAGAGATGGGTGCCGGTCTGCTGCCAGAGCCTCTGCCTGCCTGGAGACAAGCAGCGCCCGCAGGCACCTGTCCTCCTGTGCCCAAGGCAGTGCTGTGGTGGCTGCTCCTGCAGGAGGGGCACAGTGAGCCCTCAGCCTGACAAAGTGTGCACAACGTGTTCCTGAGAGGATCTTTGAAATCGGGGCTGGAAAGTTCAGTGAACTCACACAGAGCAGAGCCTCGAAAGGATGTTCCAGCTGCAAAGCCACCATAGAGAGCCCACACCCTCCCATCACACTACTGCCTACAACAGGGAATACAGAACTGGCTTCTCCATAGGTGCCCTGCCTCTGTGAGAAGTTGTAAAACACAAATAGGAGAATTTTATATCAGAGCTCCACTAAAGGAACAAGGCTGGATACCAAGTGTTAGATATAAGGGCACAACTTGTTCCAGAAGAAAGAGTAAGAATTAAGATTCCCAAGAACATCTTCAAAGGCAGAACTGCAATTTGTTCACCACTGAACGTTCAGTTCAGGATTTATGGCCGTACATACCCCATCATCTCCCACTGTGCTTCAGTGAAGCCCTGACAACGGCAGACCTCTGTGCTGTCAGCCCAACGAGACTCTCCAGCAGTTGTTAAAATTCAAATATTTACATTGCATTCTCTGGAACATTTAGATGATTTAATGGATATGGTACTTAAGGAAATGTTGGTCAAAACTGAAGTACCTGAGCTTTTTTTTTTTTTTTTGTCTTGTCCTTCTGTGATCCAAAGAATACAAAATTTCAGTCTGCATAGAAAACACCTGTCATAAAGACAGTCCGGTTCCTACTAACACAGCTGTACAGAGCACCCAGTGAACATGTGCTCTTCTCTCCATTTAATAACTTCTAAGCTTAGAAGAGCTTGAAAACAAATTTGAATTTCATGAGAGCTTAAATGAGAAGTGACAAATCAAGAAGAGCATATATCTCAGAGAAGAATGACTGTAACTGAGCTCCTCCTCAAAAAAACCCAACAAATTTGATGCAATATTGTGCCATTACTGCAGAACGAGAACTTCATAGTGTTTCATTTTGATCTTAGCCAGATTCCAGGTCACGTTATCTGCATTTCTGTGGTAGCCACAGCTTTTGGCCATCTTACTTTAACCATCAAAGTATCAGTGATCTACATTCTGGCAAATGGAAGAAATGTAATTTCTAATTCACATAAACCACTTGTAAATTTTAGCTGTAATCCAAAATGGATTTTAAGGAAGAGGAAAAAAATAAGTATGTAGGTTACTCTGCAAGTAATGCCTCCTATGCATTTCTGTGGAAAGTACAACAGATGGAGCACTATTTCACAGAGCAAATTCTCAGCTACAAAGCGCTATTTTTCAGTGCAGTCACCACCAGCTGTTTCACGTGGATGCACTGATCGAGGCACTCCACATTTTGTGGTGTGACAGCTGTGCATGGCAGTCCAGAACACGGCTTGTCTTTGCCATTGCTGACACCACTGCTAAAACACACCGCCCACCGTCTCACTGTGCTCACACCCATCGCTTGGGCTCCATAAAAGTCAGCAGGCACCAAGGAATGTCAGTGGGTGCCATTTTTCCACATAGAGGAATTCACTCCCGCACCTCTGTTCCGCATGCACTTCCATGTCAGCTACTATTCTGTCAGGCTGCCATCAGTCACACATCAACAGAACAAAATGGCACATTGGTGGGAAGGTTCAGCCTCTGTGCCATAGCACCAATATCCACCTGACACCGCGGGCCAACAAAATAAAATAGGAGGCATTACTTTTGGAGCAGGCCTCGTTGTTGGTTGTGCTACAAGTAACATTTTACTGAGACCATATTTAAAGACTTCAGTTACAGAGGTATCATTCAGCTTACACAGGTATCGTTTATCACTTTCTGTATGACTCGTGATATTTCTTTGTAACACAGCCCCAGTGTCTGGACTACTGGGCATGGCAGGGGCTGGCTTCCTGTTTCTACCTGCAACAAGATAAATCCAACCACGAAATAAGACAAAGCAAGCACCTGGCAGGCCTTTGCATCCTACTTACAACATTTTTTTAATTATTTCCTAGTAAGTGACTAAGAAGTTTCCAAATGGGGCTGAGAAATGTACCAAAATAAAGAAATCTCAGGAGTCTCAGGTGAGGTAAGCCTTCACAAGTTGCACTTACAACTTAGCAGCCTCCTCCACTGCTGAACACACTTGCCAGTTACCAAGATCCCCCTGCAATCCTTCCTCTCATGCAAGAAATTCATTCTCCTATCAACCTGAAAAGTTTGTTCTCTCTGCCTTAGAATCATTCCAGATTCTAGTACAAGGAAGTTGCTCATGGCTAGGGAATAACAAACTGGCTACTTTCATATTCCTGTAGGCTCTTGTGGCCATTAACTGACCTCATCTGTGACATGACAATCATCTTCTAAGAAGCAATGGCAAAACTCTCTGCAAGTATGTTTATATAAATACAGATTAGGTAACCAAAACTAACAGTTCTTATTCAAATAACCTTCCTGAGGCATATTTATTTTGTCCTAAAAATAAGTTTCTTGCTGTTTTTGTTTTCCCCATTTATCAGTTTTTAATGCCTTCTTACCTGAAGGACAGGTGGAAATGGAGGCATAAAACAGGTGAGAAGACATGACAAAGAATAAAATAACTAATTACAAGGCAACTTAAATGACATCTGGGTACACCACATGTTGTAAGCACGAAAATATTTAATCTCCAAGAGAATCCAAAACTTTTATTCACCATTTTGTTATTCATTAGTGGTTTGGTTGGGATTCTTTTCATAAGCAATGTTGCACAAAGAGATACTAGGAAGTTTTCTGCATTTCCCTCAAGTGAGCACTGAGCCCAGCCTTGATAATTCTCCTATCACATACTCAAAGATTTAGCAAGGAAAAACAGTAACAAGGAATGTTATTCTCAACCTCTGTATGTGTTCAGTGGACTGAAAATTTTTACTGTGTTTGAAGCACAAGTTCCTTGTAGACAAAGTAGTTCAACCCTGGTTGTGCATGTGAGATCACAAAGACATTTTAGCCCACACTTGCTGTACTTTGTTGTCTCAATGCATTAGGAGCAAACATCTCTCACCTACTGTGTTCCAGATGCAGGGCAGTGACTCTGGAACACAGAGGTGACAGTTTCTTGGTGTGTACTTACTTGGTGAGACATACATCCTTCACAAGTTTCTCCAAATGTGCCCAAATTCCAGTACTTTCAAGATCTCTTTCCCTGATGCTTCTACAGAACAAAGAGATGGAGATACCTCTCCTCTGCAGATAAGCTCTGCCCAGCAATTATGTTCCACTTCAACCTCTGCATGTCAGTAAAACATTTCAGACAGCATAACAAATGCCAGCCTTACATTCAGAACAGATTTCAGGCTGCAGAAGTCCAAAGACACAAGCTAAACCCTGCAGCTCTAGATTTCAGAAGCACTCCTTGGCCTTTTAGTAGCATAAGAATATTTGTGGGCTGATGCTGCTGGCCAGTGCGCGTAGTAATGAGTAACTGAGGTTAGGAAATCCTGAAAAAGTGCTAGAAATAAAGACAGAAAGCACACAGTTACTCCAGTTTTTACACTTGTTTTCTGGTTGTTGTTGTTCGGTTGGTTTAGTCTTTTAGTTGTTGTTGTTGGGTTTTTTTTTTTTTTCCCCAAATCCTTTGGACAAGTATATTTAAGAAATATAAACTAGGTTAGCACAGTTTATTGTAGAAATTTTCACAGCATGCATATCAATAAAATGCTTACTCTATGAAGAAACTACAGCCTTGAGTTAAAGTACCTCACAGCAAAATTGTGGCTCCATATCAGCAGTGTTGCCCAGCCTGGATGTCATCAGAGGTTTTCAAAACTGAAGCCCTGAGCAGCCCTTGAACAAAGCCCCAAACAACTGCACTCTGCATGAAGGCATCGAGAGCTCCTACTGGAATAGATGGGGCTCCTGAGACTCCTTCCAGGGTATGTGACCATACTGCAGAACACCCCAAGGATTTTATTGGCACTGCTGTTTATCCTTTGACTACACTGAAGTAAAGGTCAAAACCACATACATCAGTAGAATTATCTATTGATACTACATTTGAATATGGCCTATGAAATAAGTAATACACATTAATTTATCCTCTGAGTTGGTCAGCTTGAATCAAATAGATAAGACATCTGAAAGCCCTTCCTGGAACTACATAGCAAATAAAATTATTAATCAAATGAACAGAAAAGATCTTTCAAAGACTGGAGAATTAATTTAACCAAGCTATAGCCTTGACATCGATCAAAATATGCACAAAAGCTTGTGCCGCTTCTGAACAACTGAACTGAAAGCCGTCCTAACATTCCCTGCACTTTTGTTCTGGGTACTTCCTTCTTAAGCCATGTTGGATCCTAAGCCTGTTTAAATTCAATTAAACCACAGGACATTTTACCAAAGGCAACGAATTGCTGAGGGCTCACAGTGATGTTCGCTCACTGATCACCTTAATCAAAACTATTCTGTATACAAATTGTGTACATCGAGAAGCACCTGCAAATCAGGCCAAAAATTAAGGTCAGGATGCTATCCATTTTACAAGCTTCCTCAGAACTGGGAGCAGGGGAGTAAAAGACAGAGCTTCTGGACAACACACCACAGTCTAGCTAATGTGGCAGATGAACAGAGAGGAAAGCCCTAAGTCTTCTAGAAATGAGGAGTGTACAGACATTGGTAAATAAGCACGTCTGCTCTTTTTACAGTTTTGAGACTGGGACTCAGTCGGATCTTACTCTGGTGCTTCAACAAAATGAGAGGTTCTCAGATCAGTTTGCAGCAATGTTAGTGGAAACAACAGCAGAAAGTATTGCCTTGATTATTAACCTGACCTATAACGGATTCAACTCTGTGTCCTTAAGGAGCATCCAACTAGTTTACATGAATAAAATACAGCAGAAGATATTTGTAGTATACAAAAATCTTCTCCATTCAAGAAATCAAACACAAAGAGCTTCAAACCTGAAAGTCAGAAGTGACTGGCAGCACATCAGTATAAAAAGGAATACATGTTACAGAATTATAAACTTACATTTTTTGCCGTCATCTCAGAAGGTCTTGGTCTATATTCTGTAAAACCATAAGATCTCCCTTTTCATCTTCACAGAATCTTTAAAACCAACACCCTGCAAGAAAGTAAATTAAAGCATACGAGTTAAAATACATTCTCAGTTAGCTCTCTATCCAAACCCTGCATCTCCCCGGGACAGCTAAATTTTGCATGTGTTTATTTTTAATAAAGTTACTCATCACAACAGAAGATTCAGCACATACACGAGAAATTTACAATGCTTGAAATACTCAGAATGTAATCTTAAATATAGAGTCCTGATATGTCACTGTGCTAGCAGAGCTTATCACACCATTCCTAAAGTCTTGTAGCCATGTCTTAAAGTCTTAAAGCCATGCGAACATTTACATCAAATACAGACTGACCCCAAAAACTGAAAGTGAATTGATCTTTTCATTGTGTCTTTAACTCTCACAATTGAGAAAACTTCTGATTCTATCACAGCACATATACAAAGATCTTGAGAAGGAGCAGGAAACAACACGAAATGCACAGACACAGCAAACATTTAGCAAATTCAGGAAACATCCAAAAAAACCCAAAGGCATTTCTGTTCAAACTCACTTTTTAAATATTTTCAAGGCTTTGTAATTAGGATTATAGTGAAATTCCAGGGAAGAGAAACATTCTGATAAACTGAAGAATACTTACAGTGACTTTTTTTTAAAAAATCAAAACTTCCAGAAGTCTCACAAAAAAGGAAAACAAATCACAAACAGTGGCAGCACAAACCATTTTACAGAATTAATTTGACAAAATGTTCAAGTACTTTGAAAGCACTTTGTAAGTACTACTTTCTGTTAACAAATGGGACTAAAAAGACATCTGAATTGTGCTTAGATGCACAAGGGAGAAATGCTCACACTTTCAAGAGTGGAATTGATTCACAAAAATCTTACAGAACACCTGAACTGGTTACTGTGAGTCACAACCACTCACAGCAGAACTCACCAGCTGCAAAAGCAAGTACAGTCTATGCTGTTTCCTTTGAAATTCAAACTCTTGTTAGCTTTGAGTACAACCATGTCAGCACCTCCCTTCTAAGAAAGGACCAAAAATGATTTCAGTAGAATATGTTGCCCATGACAGACTGCTGACACTGCATTCATGATTATGGATAATGCAGATAAAGAACCAGACTGAAAGAATCAAATAACCCAAGTTGGAATGGACCCACGAGGGTCATCGAGTCCAACTCCCGACTCCCCACAGCACCATTCAAAATTGAAATCCTGTGTCTAAGAGTGGCCAAATTTTTAAGCGTGCAGCTCCTCCAGCCCACTGTTGTCCTCAAACTCAGAATACACCCGAGTCCTGCTTCCAGACACCATCTCAACCCTTTCCTTTACAGATCTAGCACTTGATCTTGAAGAGTGAGGAGTGATTTAAAAGGCTTAAAGAACATCACTGATTTTGTTAGCCTGCTTCCTAAATTTCTAAAATATCCAATAAAAGCGTAAGAATCAAAGAGGGGTTGCACATCTCCTGCTTTTGCCATCGTGCAAAACATACTTAGTGTTTTTTTCTGGTTGGACCTACAGAGCAGCCTCTGGGAGACTGCTGGTATGGCAGAGCATCACACAGGTATGCAGTGACTCCCTTGCAGTGGCCGTGCTTATTGAAAGCACAGAGCATTTGCCAGAAATGATGACAAACTGGGAAAAATACACTGTACATACAGAAGACCTTCCTCTATCCCTGAATTCCTGGCAGAGGAAGAAGCATTTGCTGCTTGTAGGGAGGTCAGTCAGTTGTTTCACACATAAACCAACACTTAGAATTTTGGTGGGAGGGATGGAGGTTCCAATAAAATAAACCTTGGTAATAGAGAAGATGACGATGACAGTACATGTTCTGATCTTCATTTTTTTTCTCTGGCTGTTGCCAGGCATTTTAGAGGTAGCACTGCTGAGTAACAGAAATACGGATAACATATATTTGGGTTGTATCCAAGTTTGAAGCCATGGAACAGAAAGATAAATAAGTCAGGATATGATGAATTTATTTATTTCCATATGTGTGCAACACATCCTGTTTTAGTCTAAACTGTACAATCAACTGACCGATAGACCTTTTTAATATCCATGTTTGTCTTCAGCAATTAAAAGCCTTAGTTCTGGTATCTTACAGTCCTAAATTGCTAGCAGTCCTAAATTGATAGCAACTCTTCCCTAACTCTTCTCCTTTGCATTTTTTAGTTACTCTTTACTGCCACTCATACTTAAAGAGAGATAATCCACAACTGCTTGAACACTGCAAGAGAAAAGTTGCCCTGACAAGAGCCCTGGCTGCCCCTGCCCCACAGGGAGATCTAAACTAGAAACACCTGTGCAGCAGCTCAGGTGCCCAGGCCATGCAGGGAGCAGCTGCTGGGCCAGAGAGAAGCCTGATGGCAGCGCAAGAAGGCAGAGAGACAGCGGCACCCACAGGGCCTCTGCCACTCAAGCACCTGAAGAAAGTCACCACCTAAGCCAGAGCTGCGCCAACCCTGCCAGGCCGTGCTGCAGCAGCACGGAGGGAGAAGTGCCAGACTCTGCTCCCCTCCCCGCTGCCAAGACTTTGGGTGCCACCTCTGCTCCTCTACCTTGCATGGCATTTGGATTTACAACTGGCCCAGCACAGCAGGAGCCTCCCCAGCTCCCACAAGCAGCAGAGCAGCAGGATCCTTGGGTCCTCCTACCCTCATCCTTTAAAAAGGCCATTCCAGCAGCAGCCATGCTGATGCTGCCTGCTGGGCAGCCCCACGTGGCGCCTGCAGCTGTAACTGGGCACACGTAGGCAGTGGGCCAGCACCACAGTGTGGGACCCACTGCTGACAGCTGGGAAAGCAGCACCTGTTATAGGTTAAGTTGAGAGCTCTTAGGGAGATAGTTCCAGAAAGATCTTCAAGTACTGGACCTGAGAACCTGGAAATACTGTCACATGTTTTTATTTATGTATCTACTTATCTATTTCATGGTTCTGAGAATGAATAAATGTTTGAATAATGAACCTTTTCAATTGCCATATCCTTTTAGTCGTTCATTCATTCATTTCATGCTCCTTGAACTCCATCAGGCTTTCTACAAATCTCTTATTTTTTTCAGATATTGTATCACTTCAGCTGCTACTAGAGTTAAAGGAATGCCACTCAATTTGGTAGTGTTCTCCCTTTCCTACTGAATTAACGTTATCTACCTCCCTTGCTGCCCCAATCTGCTGCAGCTGTGACCAAGGAGCTATTCCAGCATCTGAATACCACACTATATGTCTACTAAGACATACTGTAGCAAACAGAGCCTTTAGTTTTAGTTTCACAACAAAACATCTAAGAAAATAAGAAGCATTTTTATCTTCTATGGTAAGGACACAGTGAGAAAAATACTGAGAGTTATCTATTAATGTTCCTGGGGAAAAAGGGCTGCTAGATCTGTGTAGCCATCTTGAAGCCTGGAAAGTTGCCACAGAAAAGCCATGCAGTGACAATGGTCCACAGCAAAGAACAAATACTGACAACCTGCACCACATTTGAAAATTAGGATTCTGCCATTCCTTTCTCTTTCTCCTCCTTCCACACACACCTTCCAAGCACATCATCTGGAGCTCTGGCCCAAAATTCATGATGCAATTTGCCTTCCCTGTCTCACTTCAAGAGGCTTTACAAGTAATTTACTCAAATAAAACATAGCTAAGAGAACATTTTCTAGTCAGTTTCATCCTGCTGAAAGATAGGCAAGCTAGTTTAATCTTTGACAAGTTATTTGCCATCAAGCTTAGTGATCCAGAAGGCATTGTCCATAAACTATTACAGTCACTTGCCACAGTGCTTTTCAGACAGCACAAACAGTTGGTATTCTTCCAGCTTTATGAACACATTTTGTCAAGCTCAAGAAGCCAGACTTTGTGACCCCACCATCTGCCACGACCCCTTGTCAGGTTCAGACAAAAGAACTTACACAGATGGCCTCAAAATGGAGATTCTCTTCCTTCTGAATTGCTGTTTGACAGCTTGCACCACACAGACAGAGCAACAAAACTCTACCTTTTTGTTCCTGAGCTGGTTTCTACTGAACCAAGGACGCATAAAGCCCAAAGCACATGACACACACAGACTGCTTTACTTGAACTGAAGTTCTCCATATTCTAATCTCGGTTTATACCCCGCTCCCATGATTTTACCTTTTGGTCAAGTATTGTACAGCTCTGTGAGAGAACAGAACCATAAGAACCATAAGAACCAAGGTGTGATTTCTTCTAGAACTTACATTGCCCAACCACTTCTGCTGATGCCATTAAAAAGACACCGAAAACAGTAAATTTACAGAAATGGAGATCATCAAGCTCCAGACTAGTTAGTTTAGTTCTCCATACATATCCTTCATCACGAGTCAAAAGACAGATCTATTCTGAAGTGACACTGAAGCAAAATTCCAGTAGGAGAAACACTGCAGAATAGAAACAGTTATCTGAGAAAAATGCTACCTCTGTACTCCTCTGTACATTATTTTCTGTGGTCCAAAGTCATACTTTAAATTATTCCTATAAGATACATATGTTGGCTAAAACCTAGAAGTAGAAAAGAATAAAGCCCCACATCAGAACAGTCTGTTTTCAGCCCTTGACAACAAATCTGTAGCAAACATCTTAGATTTCTTTAATTTCCTCGAATTCTGACCAGTACTCTGCATACCAAAACTTCACAAAGACCAGCACACACACAGGCCCTCCCCAGCCTCACAGGCCACCTCCCCACAACACAAAGCGTAATTCATAGCAGGATGATATTAGTATCAAACACCTACAAATTAAGGCAACTATTTTAGACTACCTAAAATACGAAAGAAATGTCTTCATGAAACACAGAAAAAAAGCTGTAAAGATATTTCACACTGATTTTTATCACGATCAAAGAATGCTTTTTTGATTTACTCAATTGAGAGCATTGCAAAGTGGAAATGATTCCAAGTTGCTGGCTCAACTACAAGAATGAAAGCGTCACCAGTTCCAACACCACCAAAAACCAACCTGTATCACACCTGCCTCTGCTAGAAAATAGCTCGTGTTCCTCACACCGCT